GTGGGCTTATGTATCTTGCAAATTGTACTAGACCTGATATAGCTTTTGCTACTAATTTACTTGCAAGATACAGCTATTCCGTTATTTACAAGGTACCATTGAATTTGGTTTATTTTATTCTAGAAACCCCGAGTTTGGTATGGTTGGTTTTGCAGATGCAGGGTATTTATCAGATCCGCATAAAGCTAGATCGCAAACTGGATATGTTTTTACAATTGGAGGAATTGTGATCTCTTGGCGTTCCCAAAAGCAAACTCTGGTTGCAACATCTTCAAATTATGCGAAAACTATTGCATTACATGAAGCTTGCAGGGAATGCGTATGGCTCAGATTTATAATTCATCATATACAAGATGCAAGCAGAATAGAGACAAAGAACGAGCCAACAAAAATTTGAAGATAATGCTGCATGTGTTGCTTAACTAAAAGAAGGTTATACCAAAAGTGATCGAACGAATCATATCCCTCCAAGATTTTTCTCTTACACAAAGAAGCTCGAGAAAAATCAAGAAGTGAGTATTCAATATGTTCGTTCATGCAACAACCCAGCTGATCTATTTATAAAAGCGCTTCCCACTACAACATTCAGAAAACATGTTCATAGCATCGAAATGCGTCATTTTTGAAATCTATGAAGAAAAGATTATATCCATCATTTCCAGAAAGAGCATTACTACACTTTTTTTCCCTAATCATGATTTTTATCCCAAATAAATTTTTTATGATAAGATTTTTAATGAAGCAATACATAATATAGAAAAATAAATAATAAAAAAGGAGTGTTAAAAGATAATGTTTTAATATTATAGATTAATGTTTATCCATTTAGTTTATTTGTCATTATTGTTATATATGTAACCGACTTAAAATATCTATAAATAGAGGTATGATCTTTGTAAATTGGTATGATCAGATCGACACTAATAATATTGTCTCTCACTTACTCTCACTCCTCTCTCTCACGCCTCTCTCTTTAATTCTTCTTTCCAAAGATAATATATATATACAGTAAATTCTTTATAAATTAATAATGTTGGGACTTCAAAAATTTATTAATTAATTGATAAATTAATAATTATTAATTTATCAAAAAATTAATATTTATTATTTTATAAAGAGATATTTCAGTTTAAATTTAAAATATTTATCAAAAAATAAAAAAAATATTTTTAACAATATAAAATTTATTCAAAAAATATCATATCAGTGAATTTAAAAAATAAGTCAAGCAATTTTTATAAATTTAAAAAAACAATATAATTATATTTTACTATATTATATTATTTATATATATTTAAATATATAATTATTAATTTATGTAATTATTGAGGCTATATTTTTATATAGGAGTTTCAAAAAAATTATTATCTTATTATCTTATCAAAATTTGCTAATTTTTATACTAGCCCGACTTGAGATCGACAAAAGTTATTAATTTATAATGATTATTAATTTATCGAATATTAATTTATAGAAGTTTTACTGTATATATATATATATACACTCATATCTCATTTTATATAATAAATAATTTATAACAAGAATAACCTTTTTAGGATATGTGTAGTTAGTCCTGGACATTTAATTTGGACCCTCTAAACCCATACCGACCCAATCCAAAAAAGCGGTTAGATTTGAATTCAGTTCTCACCAAATAACCAAATGGATCTTGATCGAGTTTGAGTTTTGGTTTGGTTCTGATAAAACCTAAGAACCGATCGGTTACCCGATTAACACGAACCAAATGATATTTTGATTTTTCTGAACCTAATTTAAGAAAGAAAAAAACTAACACCACCTCCATGTTTCTCCTTCTTCAATCATTTTATATTTTTCTTCTTCAATTATCCATCCTCCATCTTCTCTTTCTTCTCTTTCTTCTTCTTCTCTTCCCGAACACTCGAATTAGACTAAAAATGGAATAAATCCATGTGATGAAGGTAAGCAGTAAAACTGTCAAACAGGCGTGTATGTGTCCAAATGGGCATGTCCAGATGGACACCTATATGGTCAAGCCCAAATGTAATCAATGCCCAAAGACACCTGCAACCAAATACGACCACATCCAAATAAACTGTCCACGGTCAGTCCAAATAAATGATTTTTTTATTTTTCTCATTTATCTGATCTATAAAACTATCAAACTGCCAAAAAAATATTCTTAAAATTTTGTTAATCAATAAAATACTTACTAAATCAATTCAATATAGATCTAACAAAATACAAGTTCAATTTTAAATAAAACACAAGTTAAATGCTAACAAAACACATTTTGTTAAAAATCATCATAAAACACATCTTCAAACTTTGATAAAACACATCCTCAAACTTCAAAATTCTCCTCTTCTTCTTTTTTCTATGTAAACTCGAATTCATCAACTTCTAAGATATAGAAAACCAAATCAAATTAGTTAAAAAATTTTATACTAAAGAAATAATACATTACAAATCACAAAGTAAATGGTACTTACGAAACTTTTCAAAGTTTCGTAACCAATTCCTTGCACAAATCAAGGCTTGCACATTTGAAGGTAAAAAAAAACTCCTATACTTGTTAAGTACTCGACTTTCTATGCTAAATGATAATTCAGAAGATACTATAGTGATAGAAATGCAAAGTACATCATAAGCCATAAATGAAAGCTCTTTAAACCTGGTTTTGTTATCTTTCCAATATGCAAGGACATTTAAGCTTTTGAAAGCAACCATATCCAACACGGGCTCATCTAAATATACATCCAAAGCTGATTTTCCACAACCAACAATTTTTTGTGAAAAAAAAATACATAAAACCTGTGTATCATCACAAAACTAGAATCCAAATCATAAACCAAAGAAAACCAGAATCTAAATCATCTTACTAAGCAGCAAAACAAATCCCTCAGCCTCCTTCCATCTGACTATGCTATCGTCTTGCAAGTTAGCCAAACAGCAAGATACCACTGATTTACACACCGCACGATGATGGAATCCTCCGTTCATCTTCATCACATTAATCAGCAACTCTATTTTGGATCCATTTTCGGGTTAATCAGTTCCAATCACGTAAATCGGATCCAAAATTCTTAATTCGGATCCAATTAAGAAAACTTTGGATATTATTCAGTTCCTTACAATTTATGTAAAATCCAAACCGAACCGAATTTCAGCCGGATCTTAAATGGTTCCTAACCTCTCTTACCCAAACTACCTGAACCCTGAACGAACCGACCCAACCCGGCCTGAAAACCCGAATGTGTAGGAATATGTGTAGTCTCGACTACCCATATCAGTTTTTTTTTCATATTATTGATATATCTGATCACATCTAAAATAAAAATAAATTTTAAATTTATATCTCTTTATATATATATATATATAGCATTTTTTCTTTATTTTAGAATTAGTGTTTTAGCTTATGTTTTTCTAAACTAAAGTTAATTTCATTTACTTTTATTTTAATTTTTTTTTTATATGTCAAAATCTGATCGATTAAAAATTGCAATATATCACAAACATATGAATTATTAACTTTTATTCATTCAATCTTATTATATAAAGTTGTATGCATCAACGATCGTAACTAACATAATTTTTATCCTTTATCATATATATATTTTTTATTATATGGATGATGTGATAATTTATTTACTTTTTTAAAGTAAGTTTAAATGAAAATAAGAGAAAAAATAGATTTTTGGTAGAAAATCTAATTAAAGAAATAATTTTATATGATATATTTTTGGAAAGAAATAAAAGAAAGAGAATATCTTAATAAATTAAATGCTGATTTATAAAATAAAACATAACGTGGACCTAAAATATATAATGGCATACAATGTAATTAGTCTAGTAATCTAAGTCTTTTTAAAACAATTAGCTGAAAATGAATGTGGAGTTGACACATCAGCATAATGGCACTACTGTTAATACTTACAAAATGAAGTTACTTTTTTAAAATGCTTCTCAATTAATATATAGGGGATTATGATGTGTTAATTGTTTAAGAAACTTGATCTTTTACTTATACATTGTTGTATGTATTTATACTTTTTTCTCCATAATTTTATTCATTTTTTATATGTTGCTTATTTTTGAAGAGATTAATAAAATAAATTAATCATCAATCTTACACAATTTCTTTATTTTTTATTCAAAATAGCATTCTAAATTTTTTATTTGTAGATACTTTATATTTTGTGACTGGTAAAATACGTGTTTATTTTTTAACATTTAAATTATGTCATATGAATATCCAAAAAATATGTATGTAAAAGCTTATTTAAATATAAAATTAGATAATTTATATTTTGTGGTTTGTAAAGTATTTATATACAAAATAAAAGCCCATAAAATTAAATAATTAAAAATCTATATAAATAAATTAAAATACTGATATGGATAGCTTTATTGGAGAGAGTTTCCCTAATTATATATATGATGCATGAAACTGTAATTTACTGAATATTGTCATATGAAGGCATGAAACTATAATTTTTTTAGTTAGTTTAGATTCCGGTATAGAAAACACTGTTGTCTAAAAATGAAAATTAATACTATAATATTGGGATAATAAGAGATAAATATTCTACAAGTTGTGGTAATGACGAAAAAAACGAATAAATAAAGAAAAGATAGAAAAATTCTGTTAAATAAATTACTTTATTTAGGAACTACAATTAAAAAAAAAAGGCACACAAATCTAGTCTAAGTCTTCGTTCAAAAACTCTACTATCCTCTTTGTCATTGAAAAAAAAAAAAAAAAAAAAACCAGAACCATCAATTTCTATTTACAAGCGTCGAACAAAGACAGAACCTTCGTCAACCTCTTTCTCTCCCGCCTCAGATTTTATTTTCTTTTCATTCTAATTTTGAATTTAATTTATTTTTTCCCTAATTTCTGGTCGGAAAACCGCTTTTCGTGTAAATTACCTCCGACACCAACCCACTCAAGACGGCTTTTATTTTTTTTGTATTATCGCCCTGTCTCTGTTTTCAATTTTTTTTTTTTGGGAATTGAGTGGTCGGAGGAAAAGGAAAGGTTAGGTGTTAAACGCGCTAACGTGCGCCGTGGGTGCGTAATTTAATTTGGTTTTTCAAAATCGAGGAGCGCGTAACGTACACGCGGCTTTAATTTGATGGTTATGATGATGATGACGACGACGACTGATTGGGGAACATGGGAGGAGCTTCTTCTCGGCGGCGCTGTTCTCCGTCACGGTACCGGAGTCTGGACCGTCGTCGCCGACGAGCTCCGTTCCCATTCTCTCCCGGAGATTTTCACACCTGAGGTTTTCCTCTCTCTCTCAATTTCCTCATTTCCCTTTAATTTAAGAATCTATTTCGAAATTTCGATCAGGTTAATTTCGGAATCGGAAAAACAGTTTCTTTAGGTCAAGTTTCTCTAGTTGATTAAGCAAGAAAAAATAAACTCTGGAATTTAAAAATTAAAGACAAGAGTTTGCTTTAGGGTGTAAAAACAGTGTTTCTTGTCGGTGGATTTAGAAGCTTTAGATTCATCACTTGTGTGTCAAGAAAAGTTTAGTCTCAAGTAAAAAAAAATTGATTTCTTGGTCTTGTTAAACAAGTGAAGACACTCTTCTGCTTCTCAATCTCGAATTGAAACATAACCACACTGAATTCGAAGTTTCCTCTCAATAGTTTTTTTCGCAGTTGTCTGAATTGTGAAATTTCAGACATTGTCTGGTAAATCATACTCTGATTGCGCAGATATGTAAAGCCAAGTACAAGGACTTGCGAGAACGTTATTTGGGATGCAAGTAAAAGATTTGATTTGTCTTCTTAACCTTTTCTTGCCTGATACAAGACTCTTGTGATAGCTATTTCACCGTCTTTTCGTCATATTGTATGTAGAGCTTGGTTTGAAGAGCTTAAGAAGAAACGAGTGGCTGAGCATAAAGCAGCTTTACTCAAATCCGAAGGCTCCCGGATTTAAGGATTGGTTAAATCCCCCAGAACTGTCCATGGAGATGAAGAGATTCTCAGGTCCACGGAAATATGTTCAAGCTCCTGCCAAAGATCTCGTCTGCCATAACCACAGTTCACTGTATAGACAAAAGTAACTGCCATTTCCTGATAGACTGCTCGACTTGTGCAAGACCGTCACACTGACATTTCGTAACCCACAGAACCCAAATTCTCCTCAACTCAGAGAATTTGTAGTTACTAACATGGCTCCAACCCGGGAAAGAAGAATTTAAAAGCTTTATAGACTTTTGCTCCTTCACTCTAGTCTCTAAAAGAGGCTTTCATAAGCTTGTGCCATCTACTAAAATTATTAAAGCCGCGAAAGTTCCAATAAAAAAGTCGACTTTCATCAGACTTATGTGTATTTGGGGCCTTTGCACCGAGTTTTCTCCCCTGAATTCTGCACTTTGCGATGCAGCTTGGATACCACCTCAATGAATCTTTCGTTATTCTCGGGGTTATCATCTTCTTCCGAGTAATAACTAGGAGCTTCTGAACTAGAGCTGGAATTAGCAGTGGAGGACGATGGTTTATGTTTTTTCTTGCTTGAATAGTTAGTTTTCAAAGTCTATTGTTTTCTATTCATATGTCGTGTTTGAAGGTTCGTCTTTATGTGATGCGACACTAGCTCAGGTTAATTTCAAAGAACAAACCCCTTTTTGTCTTCCTTTGACTGTATCTTTCTTTTTTATATAAAAATGGACAAATTGACTAAAAATGATTTATAGACGTTGACCCAAAAAAAAAAAAGAAACAGCTAGACAGACGTTAATGGAGACTCTGGTTTCTCTTTTCATTCTTATTGTTCTCTTTTTCACGATCGGATCCGGAGGAGCTGAAACAATAGACGATGTATATGAAGAGGTTAGGGTTGGAATGGTTGTGGAGTTGGGTTCTATCGAAGGAAAGATTCTCGAAAATTCTTTTTCCTTAGCGCTCTCAGATTTTTATCGCATAAACAGAGGCTATGGAACCAGAGTCTCTGTTTTAACAAGAGACTCCCAAGGAGACCCTCTGATTGCTCTCGCTGCCGGTTAGTTTCATTTTTCTTTATTGTGTGTGTTTTGGTAAACCGAATTATATAATTTCCAGAGACAGAGAATAGGAGATACCACTTTTTTAAGGTCTTCCGTTATTGAAAAATGATTTCGTTGAATAAAAACATCATTACACTTTATTAAACCCAACACTTTAATCTTTTGTGATTATTTAGCATAAAATTTAGAATAATTACTTCAAATAACATTCAAGAATAGGGATATGACTAAAATGATATTGTAGCAAGGTTCATAAACTGAAATACCTTCAAAAGTTAGAAAAAGTCGTAAATATCTAGAAAATGAGTTTTAATAATGATTGTGCTATTATTGTTAAAAATTAGGTGAAAAAAGAAGTTTTTACAATTTTTCATCTTTTATTTCTCTTTTTTGCTGTAAAAAAAATTCGATGGCTAAACCAAAAAAAAACTTTGAATTCAACGGGTCACCATGGCAAGTTGGACCAGATCGGAGCAATTATATGGTATTTCGATTTTCAGCAGCCGAATCTGTGGTTTAAGAAAAAATTGCCGTAAATTATAGTAGTTAATTTTTGATAAGAAAAGTCCAATTGGTAGCTTAGAATGATCAAAATCACATCTTTGCTAATAAATCTGATATAAGTGGATAAAAAGCACAACAAAAAGAAGCAAAAATGTTATCAGTGATGGAAACAAAAAAAAGAAATCAGCAGCAATTAGGATTTGATGTCGCACAGGTGAAAAAAGAAATGAGGGTAATTCTATCACTTTACATTTTTTTAAGTTAAAAGCAAAAAATAAAATAAACACAAACATTACTCCCAAATCAAACCCTGTAATCTATACTAAGAAATTGTTAACACAAACCACAATACCAACTTGTATCGTTATGTTTTGTACACATAGTTTAATGGAAAAATTTAGTAGATGATTTAAAATAATTTAACAACTAGATTTTGGATCCGCGTACTTGCATGAACATTTAAGCTGCACTAAAAATCAATTTATATTAAACTTTTGCTCAAAAAAATCAGCTTATTATTAAATTCAAAATTGTGGCCCGAACAGAAATTTTTTATTAGATTATATAAGCTACTTTTATGTTATAGTTTTATGTTTTTAAAATTATTTAGACTTAATTTTCTAAAAAAAACAATATTTTAGCAGATTTCCAGTTAAATTTTGTAACAAATATTTTTAAAGTATTATATTTTATAATGCAAGAGAGATTTCATTTGTTTGTAATTAAGATTTCAATATTTACTTAAGTTTTGTTTGTTTTTGCATCCAGATACTTATTTGGATGTAAATGTTCAAATATTGTTTTTTTTAATATCTGAATACAAAATCTATAATATCGCAAAATTTGAATATTTAAGATGCTAAAAAATAGAGTTTGGATGCAGCATTTGAATCTCAAAAATTAAAAAACCAAAATATATTTTTACTTTAAACCATAAAATCAAGTTTTTTCGTTGTCAAAACCATAAAATCAGTGTTTTCGATCGAAATAAAAAATCACATTTTCTCGCAAAATACTAAAATCATGTTGTTGTACCAAAATCGGGAATTCTCATAGAAACTGTAAAAATAGCATTTTCCATCAAACAGTATTTTTTTGTCAAAACTGTAAACCCACATTTTTTAATAAAATCAAAATTACTAAAATCATGTTGTTGTACCAAAATCAGGAATTTCTGTAGAGACTGTAAAAATAGCATTTTCCATCAAACCGTATTTTCCTTCCAAAAATATAAACCCGCATTTTTTAACAAAACCAAAATTTATGTTTTCTCCAACACCATAAAACCATACTCTATGACCAAATTCTAAAATGACGTGTTTTTATCAAACCTGCAAAATTACGTTTTTCATCAAACCCGCAAACCTGCATTTTCAATAAAATCCATAAAACCACATTTTTCATCAAAACATATAAACCCCACCAAAACATGTTAACCTTGTAAAATCCGCAAAATCATGTTTCTCGCCAAATCCACAAACCCATATTTTTCATAAATTTGTAAAATTTTTAAAATCATGTTTTACGACCAAATTTCTAAACTAATGTGTTTCTGCCAAACATGCAAAATCAAGTTTTCAAACCCACAAACTCGCATTTTTCCGTATGACTATATTTTCCCGCTAAAACTCATAAAATCCGCAAAGTTGCGTTATTCGCATTCTGTAAACCTGTGTTTTCCCATAAACCCCACAAAATCTGCAAAACCAAATTTCTAAAATCATGTGTTTCTGCTAAATATACAAAAATACATTTCTTGTTAAACCGGCATTTTTTCGTAAAAGCATATTTTCCGCTAAAACTTATAAAACCTGCTAAAACTTGTAAAACCCATAAAATCTACAAATTTGTGTCTGTCAAATCTGCAAACCCATGATTTCCTGCAAAAAAAATCATTAACAAACCATGAAAAAATTATTTACATAATATTTTTTTATAATATGTATATATATAACTAAAAAATAATGATTACATATTCATCACTGACTATAAATTGTCACATTTAATAAATAACATATTAGCTTTTAAACATTTTAAAGTAGTACCTTTTTTTAATTATATAGAGAAGAAACTGAGTATAATATAATATATATTTAATTTATAATATATTATATAATTATATTAATTATTCATGCCATATATATTTGTGGTAATTATGTTAAGATATTATGAAAGATTTTGAAGTAATTTCGAAATTAAATTAATTTGAATTTTATTAAATATCAGATATAATTTATTGGTATTATTTGTTAACAAACTAATATAATTTAATTTAATTTAATGCATTTTTAGTTATTTAATGATATGACTAAATTATCCTTAATGAATTAATGAAATTATCTAGTAAATGTAATGGCATATATTGTAAATACCATGGTAGATTTTGAACATTTATTAAGAATGATTTTCTTTTAATAAATTTAGATTAGAAAAGTGAAGCTGATAATTAAAAATTAGGCTGATATAAATTATATATGTAAATTATGGTTATTTTACCCCTAAATTTATTTGATGCGATTTAGATGGATAACGATTTGATTACCATGCTAACTAATATGATATTGTGCTAACTGTGTTAACTATGCTAACTAATATGATGCTCGATTAGCATATTGTATAAAATATCGAATTAACTTTGTTAACAATATAAGTTATGGAAAATTATCATGTTAACAATGTTATCATATCAAAAAATTATCATACTAACATTGTGAGCATGATAACTATTGTGTTAATGTTGATATCACTATCTTCCACCCCTATCACTACCATCACCACCGGCGACTCCATCATCACCACCGACCACCACTACCACCGATAACCATCACCACTACCACCATCGACAACACCATCGCCATCGTCATCTTTTATCATTATTTTCACCCACCACCACCGCCACCATCATCATCTTCGTTTGTGTTGATCAGAAAGAAAGAGAAAGGGTAATAAAATATTTTAATTTAACCGGGAAGAGAGAGAAATAAACTTTAGCTCTTACCTAATTATCAAGTTATCTGAGACCATGGAGTGCAATTTCTCTAGTTTAATATATATAGCTTCAAATACAATAAAAATAAATAAAAATTCCTCGATTACTTTCTGATTTATTTTCGATCAGGGAGTAATCACATACCTAGCACAAATCTTTACAGTGTACTAATACCCAACCTCGAAAACAAAATAAAAATTACTCCAATTAAACTAATTCCAAATATAAAATACTAAACTACGACTGAAGATCTGAAAAAAGCAATGTAGCGATAATCATAATTCAAGGATCATAGTGACAAATTCACAAACGAACACCGGAATCCAAGATCGGAGAAGAAACTGGAGGATTCAGGAAAGGATAACTCGGAATCAGATTCAATATAAAAACTTACATATACAGTTAAACTTTACCAACCAGATCACTCTTGTAAATACCATAAATTTATGTAAATTTACTGTCATACTAAATAAAGCTACGATGGCTTATATCATATATCATAATGATATGAAGAAGTCAACTAAATGTTATATCTACCACATCAATAAATAAATTTACCATAATAAAACAAATTTACTATCGCATATATAAATCTATCGTCACCATTGAACAAATGTTTCGGGTTATAAATCTACCACTTTACAATTTAAATCGACCGTCATTTAAGTTTATCTAACTGAAAATCTCGTCTTCGTCGAAAGTCAATTATCTATTCAATATGGTAGATTTTGCTTTTCAAGTCTACAATTTTGAAACAAAAAATTTTCGTCATTATAAATAAGTCTACCAATTTTTAAATATATCTACCATTTCAAACATATTAGATTATATCTATCAAAACAAATCCACCAGTCTCATTTGATCTCTTCCAATTTTACCTTTTAGGAAAGCATTTTTATATTTTCGGACGGTCTGCATAAATACTTATAATTATTTTCTAAATATTTCATAAATGTGTTATCATTTTAGGAAAGTCTTCTTATATATTTATGAAGGCATTTCTAAATGTGTATGATCATTTAATAATTTTTTTAAATAGTATGAAACATTTCTTTCCACAATAGTATGAAACGTTTAGAAAACAATTTTACATATTTATGATAACCTTCATAAATATATAGGAAAGTCTTCTTAAATAGTATGAAATCTTTATGAAATGATATTACTATCGTTCCTCAATAATAGGAAAAGATTCCTAAAAAATCATCTCTCCTAAAAACCCTAAGCATTTCTATAGCCGTCGCCTGACTCTTCCGACCCGCCAGAGCATTTATTATCTTTCACTTTTCATCCATCTTCCCCCATCTACCTTATTTTTCTCTCCTCTCGTCTTTTAGCTCTCTTTTTAGATTTGAATATAAAATCTGCAAATCTTCAGTCACAACATTCAGATATGGTGTTACCAAGGCCAGATCCGCACTCGCTTCCGATCTCTTCCATACTCTTTAATCTATGATGTTATTTTTAATCTCACACTCGTGATTGATGGAAAAGCTAATTGTTGGAAAATACCTATTGGATTGATGAATTGGAGAAGATAAATAGAGTAAATCGATCGATGAAGATGTTTATCAGGACTGATTGGTGACGTTATTGATCGGAGCTGATCGGAAACGATGATGACACTGAAATTTTATATCGGCACATTATTTAAATGAGAGTATTATAGTCAGTTTATATGAAATTCTATATCAGCATATTATTTAAAAGAAAGTATTATAGTCAGTTTAACGATGGTGACATTGGTGTTGCCAAAGCCAAATCTGCATGATATATTGGGTTTTCGAGGCTTTCTAACCTAGGTTTTCAACGGTTTTTCGAGTCAAAATGTTATTTTAGAGTCTTTTAGTCTTTTAGTCTTTTTATCGAGTTTTTTCAGGTTTTAGATCGTTTGGGAGAAAAAGAGCCATTTTGGGTGCAAACGAACATATGTGGATGCAGAACTATACAGGAACGTCCGAAGTTTGGAATTCGTAGTACTTATCACCGATGGATCAAGCTGAGATTTGGGCACAAGCTATATCTTTGATTTAGCTTTCATTAGGAAGTAGTTTGAAGTCAATCCAACTGTGCGATCAAAAGTTATGCCAGTTTTCGTGAAAGCAGTCTAGTCTGGTGCACGCAAAAGACCGAAGAACTTCCTGAGAGAAATTAGATCGATCGATCTAGATTTGGATCGGTCGATCCGAAGTTCAAAAATTACCCGAGACATTTTAGATCGATCGATCCATGAGAGATCGATCGATCCGAGAGGATTTAGATCGATCGATCCAAGTCAGGATCGATCAATTCGGGGTATTAACGAGCCGATTTGGTCACGCAGAAATAAGGAAACTTCGGGTCTTTCCAATTCCAACTTGGTTTTTGACAATTTCTCACCCAATTCGTTCCTAGACCTATAAATACTTGTTTTTCAGCCATTGTTTAGGCAACCCTCTTCTTTTACATTCATACTTTTAGGTTTTGTGCTTTGTAAGCTTGGGGAGAAGAATCTCTACATCTTTTAAGAAGATTTCTGAACCCTTTTGGATTTCTTATTTTTTTATTATGAATTTCTCTTCCTCTCCTTGTTGTTTCTCTGATTCCATGTCTGAGTAGTTTCATAGTTAGGTTTAGGGTTTTCAAAGGATTCATGAATCAATGAACTAGACATAAATATGGTTATTCATCTGCTATCGTCGCCTATTGTTGTTCTCATCGCGTAGATTAATTTGATCACTTAATCTCTGATTCAGGGTTTAATCTATTCATGAAAGTATTTTAGATTGCTTGATAGAACATAGGTGAGCAGATTGTCCTTAGCCAACGAAAGCTGATGTTAAGGCAATCTGTGAACAAATAAAACATGTTCATTAATGCTTGTTTAGAATTTTAAGTTCAAACGAAAGTTTAGATACTTAAGTTTCTAGACAAAGTCTTTGATGCCACGAAAGTGGATTAATTATGTATTTATGTTTGAGTTCTAGATTGTTCTATAATCTGTCCTGAATAATTGTCAGGTTCTTGATCTCTGAATTCCTGCGAAATACCTAGACCTAACGCTTTCTTTTACTGTCTTTAAACTGATTTTATTTGCTATTTTCGTTTTACATTACATTCAACAACCCATATTCTTGTCTTAGCTTAGTTTCTTTCATTAAGATTTGCTGTGTGACACTTGATCCTTGTGGATTCGATCCCTACTTTACTACATCATTTGCTGTGCACTTGCAGTAGTTTTATAGGGTTAAAACTCTGTGTATCACTGCACTCACTTCCGATCTTCACTATACTCTTCAATCTATGACGTCATTTTCAATCTCACACTCGTTTTCAATCTCACAGTCGTGATTGATGAAAAAGCTAATCGTCGAAAAATACATATTGGATTGATGAATCAAAGAAGATGAATAGAGTAGATCAATTGATGAAGATGTTTATCGGGGCTGATTGATGACCTTATTGATCGGAGCTGATCGGAAGCGATGAATACACTGAAATTCTATATCGGTATATTATCTAAATAAGAGTATTATAATCAGGTTATGATGTGTAAATTCTTTAGCTTGTATATTAGTTTAAGAACCAAATTAGTGTCATATTATTGGAATTTTCTTTTCTCATTTTTAAATATATCTACCATTCTTAAATATTTGTTGACCAGCTGCAACATGTTTACCATTTAAAACATTTAATACGGTAGATTTATTTTTTTATTTCTAGCATATGTGACAACTAAAAAGTAATGGTAATTTCCAAAAAGCAATTTTTCCTAAGATAGAACTGAAGAATATTATCGATACCATAGATTAAATAGGTAATAAAAAAAATTTAGACTTTTTTAATGTTTTGAGACCCAGCCCGGACCACCTGGTTCGTCCAGTTGAACCGAAATTCATTCACTCTTTCGAGCCGGTTCTCGTCTTAAAACCAAAACTTATTAAACCAGTAAAATCTAGCAAAACCCGCGAGCAACCTACAACCCAGTAACCTAGTTGAACCAACAATTACATTTCTTTTTATAAAAAAATCTCTTTACTAATTAATTAATTAAACTATAGGATTTCGTCAATTTGTGATGACTTTTGTCGATTGTTTTAACTTTTAGGTTTGTATCAACATTAAATTTCTGCAATTCTTAAGCCGTTTGAGAATAATTTTTTTTAATGGCTTTAACTATTTATTTTAGTTAAATTTGATATTTTATTATTGTTATTGAACAATTTATGTTATCTTTTTATTTTAAAATTTATTTTCTTTTTAAAAACTATATAATATATATATATATATATATAAATTTATTACTTAGTTGATCTACGGTTGATCCAAATCAATCTAATTTTTTTTGAAAATTTGGTGATCTGATAGATATTCTAGTTTGCTTTCCGCTCCGAGTTTGAAAAAAAAGTGATAAACCGACTTTCTAAAGTTAGTAAAGTATTTTCCCTAAATTTTATCTAATTCATTTTTTTTTCAATTATTCAATCATTTTTAACTATTCAAGTCTCTCTCATTTACACAATCAACTTGTTAAAACAAAACAAATTAAGAGCAAAATTGAATCGAAATCCTTCAAATTTCTTTATAACAATCGAAATAAAATTTCTGTAATTGAGTCTAACCAGCAATGACTTTCATTGATATTATCTTGTATACTTACAGTCTCATCCGTCGTAATTTTACTGGAATGAAACAGCTACAGATCTTGTCGAAAAAGCAAAAGTGGAAGCCATTGTTGGTGCACAATCACTACTTGAAGCAACGCTTTTGGCGGCGGTTAGCGAGAAAGCTAAAGTTCCATTGATATCTTCTCTCGTGCCAACGTCTTTGTCTTTGAACAAATACAGTCATGTTCTTCAGTTAACACACGATTCTACATCAGAGGCTAAAGGGATTACGAGACTCATACGTGATTTCGATTGGGAATCGATCGTGGTTATATACGAGGATGTTGATGATTGGAGAGAGGGTTTGCAAGAACTCGTGGACCATTTCCAAGATAATGGAATCCACATTGATCGTACTGCTTCTTTCGCAGAATCAGGAGATGATTATATGGTGATGAATCAGCTACGGAAGCTAAAGTCCTCAAGAACAGCTGTCTTCGTGGTGCATATGTCTGAGATTCTTGTCTCTCGTCTCTTTCGATGTGCGGAGAAGTTAGAAATGATGGAAGGAGGGTATGCTTGGATCCTCACCGCGGGAACCATGAATCGATTTCAATACACAGATCGTTTTGCAAGTAGGTCGATGCAAGGAGTGATTGGTTTCAGATCTTATATCCCAGATTCTGAAGAGTTTACCAGTTTTGCTTCAAGATTGAGAAAGTTAATGTTTAACGACGAAAATGCGGAGATGGAAACAATGCATCCTAGTGTAGTCGTTGGTGTATGGGCACACGATACTGCTTGTATTCTAGCAACTGCAATAGAGACGGTGAGGCTAAGAGCATCTGAAAATGTATCAGATCTTCTTGAGACAATTAAACATGGTAGGTTTAAAGGTTTGAGTCATGGGAACATCCAAATACTTGGCAACAAATTTCTCTCAGGAACATTTGAGATTGTGAATAAGATAGGAACAGGGGAGAGAAGAATAGGATTATGGAGTTTTGATCATTTCGTCGGAAGAAGACACGTCATGGCTTCTTCTACTAATGAACTCGAGACCATCATCTGGCCCGGCGGGTCTGGTAGAATCCCGGGACGCCGATTTTTAGCCGAGGACGGTGGGAAGAAGCGACTCAGGGTCTTGGTTACATCAAGAAACAGGTTTCCACATCTGGTGATGGTGCATCATGATCCTGAAACAGGTCTTAACACTGCCACTGGATTCTGCATAGAGGTTTTCAAGACTTGTGTTGCTCCTTTTAATTATGAGCTGGAATTCATACCTTATGATGGAGATAACTATGACGATCTTGCTTATGAGTTATCTACTCAGGTTCGTATGCATTTACCTTGGGAGTTGGGTCTTGATGGTGATCAAGTGGTGTTTTCTAACAAAGCTTTTGTTTTGTAATACAGAGAGACAAATATGATGCAGCTGTTGGTGACATCTCCATCACTTCCAACAGATCTTTGTATGTTGATTTCACCTTGCCTTACACTGACATATGTGTTGGAGCCTTGGAACTAAAAAAAAACAGAGAGAGCATGTGGGCTTTCTTTGACCCTCTTGACAAATCCTTGTGGCTAGTAAGTGGAGCTTTCTTCATCTTGACCGGCTTTGTTGTTTGGTTGGTTGAACGGCCGGTTAATTCTGAGTTCCAAGGCACTTGGAGGCAGCAGCTTGGTATGATACTTTGGTTTGGGTTTTCTACTCTTGTGTTTGCTCACGGTAAGGTGTAGTTTTACTGTGACTTGCTTTAGATTTCTCTCCTCTATTTATACTATGTTGTGTTGAGAATTATGATGTCTTCCTTGACAGGAGAGAAGCTTCAAAAAATGTCTTCAAGATTTTTAATCATAGTTTGGACTTTTGTGGTGCTGATATTGACTTCGAAATACATTGCAAACCTGACATCAACAAAGACCATTTCTGGCATTCAGTTAAGTCCAATGTTTACTAGTCCTGCGGCGATTGGAGTTTACAGAACCAACATTTTGCATAACTTTGAGGACATCGCTCAAGCTTTAAGGAATGGAACTATAAGTTATGTTGTCGCTGAAGTACCTTATCTCAGTGTCCTTGTTGGAAAATATCCGGGTGTCTTCAACATGGTAGCTAGAGAAAGTACTAGCAACGGCTTTGGGTTTGTATGTGTCTCTCCTCGAAATTCTTGGTTCTTCCTTCATTGTTTCCTTCTTACTAATTATAGTTTTAATCATTTCAGATGTTCCAGAGATGTTCGGGTTTGGTTCCTAACGTGTCTGGAGAAATCGAAAAGCTAAGGTCATCAGGAATGTTGAAAGACATGGAGAGAAGATGGTTTCAGAAAACGGTTTCTTCAAACACTGACTCGCCTGCAAACGACGATGCATCTAAGCGCCTAACCATCCAAGAGTTGGGTGGCTTGTTCATCATTGCGGGAGCTGCTCATGCTCTTGTACTAGCCCTGCATCTCTTTCAGACGCGTCGAGAGATTTTGCGTGTTTTGTGGGAATCTCGACTATTCACCAAGCTGCAAAGCTTCTCAGGTTTCGATAAGTAAAAAAAATCCAGCATTTTCTAAAGCTGTCGTATAGCTTTCGGCAATGAATTTCTTACTTGTAAAATTCTGAAATGAAAGTCGCATGTAATGTATATTTTACTGCTATAAATTATAAGTTTGTTAAATGAATGTCGCAGTTTCTTGTGGCGGATAGGTATATTAATATTACAGTATACGCTGTAAGCCTAATGGATGAAAATATTTCTTTCTTTTTAAGATGGAATCAAATGGAATGACGTATTGATTATGTTTAGAGAAATACCAATGGGTGGTAATTAATAGTTGGGAATTTAGTTCTCTCTTGTTAAGTTACTATTTATTATAGTAAGTTAGTTTTAAATTCTATTTTACCCTCACGATTTTAGATTAATTATATTTTTAAAGCAAAAAAGAGAAAGAAAAAAGGAGAAGAAATGAGAGAAGAAGGAAAAAAAGAGAAGGAAAGAATGAAGAATAACGATAATATTAATGTTAATGTTAATGATAATGAAAATGATAATAACTGTGAATAAAAGAATTAACGGTCGTGATCGCATTGCTAGATATGGTGATAATGGTAATCATAACACCGATGATAATAACAACGTTAACAATAATGATAGAATTAATGATAATACTGTTTATCACGAATGATAACATAGTTTTATCATCCGTGTTAAATGACAACATTAATAATAGTGATGGTAACAGTGTTAGAAATTGAAATTTTATATCGTTAATAAAATTTTTTGACGAATGATATTTTTGTAATTAAATTAAATAACAAAGAGAATTTGGGATTAAAATTTGTTTCTTTCTATTGTTTACCTAATTTTTTATTATCTGTTACCATTTACCTAACTATCAAAGTATTTATGTATATTTATCAAAATCACCCATGTTTATGTTGATAATTAGTTTAATTATCAAAATTCACCCTGAAAGCATGAAACTAATCTATAGTACAATAATATTGGGATAATAAGAGATAAATATTCTACAAGTGGTAATCTGGTAATGACGAAAAAAATCGAATAAATAAAGAAAAGATAGAAAAATTCTGTTAAATTTACTTTATTTAGGAAATACAAGAAAAAAAAAAAAAAACAAACAAAGGCACACAAATCTAGTCTAAGTCTTCGTTCAAAAACAGACTATCCTCCTCTTTGCTTTTTGAAAACAAAAAACCAGAACCATCAATTTCTATTTACAAGCGTCGTCGAACAGAGACAGAACTTTCGTCAACCCTTTCTCTCCCGCCTCAGATTTTATTTTCCATTATTTGTACATTTGAATTTAATTTATTTTTTTCCTAATTTCTGGTCGGAAAACCGCTTTTCGTGTAAATTACCTCCGACACCAACCCACTCAAGACGGCTTTTATTTTTTTTGTATTATCGCCCTGTCTCTGTTTTCAATTTTTTTTTTTTGGGAATTGAGTGGTCGGAGGAAAAGGAAAGGTTAGGTGTTAAACGCGCTAACGTGCGCCGTGGGTGCGTAATTTAATTTGGTTTTTCAAAATCGAGGAGCGCGTAACGTACACGCGGCTTTAATTTGATGGTTATGATGATGATGACGACGACGACTGATTGGGGAACATGGGAGGAGCTTCTTCTCGGCGGCGCTGTTCTCCGTCACGGAACCGGAGACTGGACCGTCGTCGCCGACGAGCTCCGTTCTCATTCTCTCCCGGAGATTTTCACACCTGAGGTTTTCCTCTCTCTCAATCTCCTCATTTCCCTTTAATTTAAGAATCCATTTCGAAATTTCGATCAGATTAATTTCGGAATCGAAAAAACAGTTTCTCCAGGTCAAGTTTGTTTAGTTGATTAAGCAAGAAAAAAATGGAATTTGAAAATTTAAAGACAAAGAGTTTGCTTTAGGGTGTGAAAACAGTGTTTCTTGTCGGGTGGATTTAGAAGCTTTAGATTCATCACTTGTGTGTCAAGAAAAGTTTAGTCTCAAGTAAAAAAAAATTGGATTTATTGTTCTTGTTAAACAACTGAAGATACTCTTCTGCTTCTCAATCTCGAATTGAAACATAACCACACTGAATTCGAAGTTTCCTCTCAATAGGATTTTCTCAGTTGTCTGAATTGTTAATTTGCAGACATTGTCTCTCTTCTTGTCTGCTAAATCATATTCTTATTCCGCAGATATGTAAAGCCAAGTACAAGGACTTGCGAGAACGTTATTTGGGATGCAAGTAAAAGATTTGTTTTCTCTTCTTAACCTTTTTCTTGTGATAGCTATTTCACCGTCTTTTGTTCATATATTGTTAATGTTCTTGTAGAGCTTGGTTTGAAGAGCTTAAGAAGAAACGAGTGGCTGAGCTTAAAGCAGCTTTACTCAAATCCGAAGACTCCATTGGGTTAGCACATTGTTTCTAATCACCAAGTTCTTAAAAACGTTTTCGTTTTGGTGCTATAACATTCTGTTTACACAGGTCGTTGGAATCAAAGCTCCAGAGTCTAAAATCAGAAAGCAACGACGAATGCCATCATCAAAACAATTACGACTCTAGCAGAACGTTATCACTCGAACCCTCTCCGAAATCCGAAGGCGGAGGAGAATGCACGAGCAAAGACACATCCAAGGACTTGTCATCAGCTGGTAGTTTCACTTTCACACAGCAAGAGCTGACCACAACAAACAACAACTGGTCACCACAAGCTCCAGCGACAACAGAGCAAGAAGAGAAGAAGACAAACCTCTTACACGGCGACATCTTCGAGTCTATGTACGGAGTAGGAGGAGGAGGACAAGTGCTTCCTGGCATGAGGAAGAAACGAGGGAAGAGAAAACGAAAAGATTGCAGCGGCGGTAAAGAAGTGACTGTGGAGGAAAGCGAATTGTTGGAGTCTTGTGCTGATATTGGAAGCGTCTCAAGGAGCAAAGAAGCTGCTTCTAGTAGCAGCAGTCAAAGCAGAGGTCACGGCTTGGCTTTACCAGAGGAGCTTACGAAGATATACAACTCTATTGCACAGAACGAATGTGCACTCGTCTTCCGTAGAAGGCTTGATAGCCAGGTGATTGATTCTTTTTAAGCCTTCTTGCAAATCTTGAAACCGTGTTTTTCTCGCCTAATTAATATTCTTGTACTAAACAGAAAAGAGGAAGATACAAGAAACTGGTCAGGAGACATATGGATTTAGACACTATCAGATCAAGAATCAACGGTTGTTTGATAACTTCAGCGAAAGAGGTTTATTTGGAGTTTCTTCTTGTGGCGAACAATGGAGCCATTTTTTACTCCAAGAACACACGTGAGCACAAATCAGCTGTGTGCCTTAGATACATTGTTGTCAAGTCTCTGAGACAGTATCTGACAGAAGATCATCCACATCGCAGCAGCAGCGTTACTACTACAGGCAACAAGGTTTCGGTTCTTCCTTCGACATCGAAATCTCCCCCTGCTTTCAGAACGAGCTTGGCAGCTAAAAAACCGAGAACAGGGTCGCACACTGTTAAGACGGTTGTGCAGGATGTGGTGGTGAAGACTCCAAGCGGAGGTAAAAGAAGGTTTTCAACGGATTCACCTGTGAAATCGTCGGCGGACGGTAAGAAAGTAACGGCGGTAGAGAGGAGAAAGGACGGTAGACAGGCGAACCGAGGACTCGATTCTCCGGCGTTGACAGGGAGAAAGCGGAATCGGTTCAGATGAATTTGCTAATTTTAAGTGTTTGTTTCTTTATGTAGTTGGTAGTTTAGACAGAGTAAAAGCCTTATTTGTTGATCAGTTCATATTTTGTGTCAACTTTTATCTGCAGGCATAGATGCTCTTGATCACTGGTGAAACTAACTGTTTATAAAATGTAACATCCCATAATCTTCTCGTTTAACTATTATTTTTAACATAATGTTTTGTAGTACATTATCATTAAACATAAGGGACAGACAATTTTTTACACTTGAACTCTGGATTTGGCATCTTTGGCTACAAATAGAGTAATCTTGTTATGTGAAGTAGATTCTTACCCGTTTAAGAGGCGAGCAAGTGAAGGACACTCGTCTATCATCATCTGCTTACTTACTTGTACATCCACTTTACCTTTCATCTTGTTTTGCTTCAAAACTCTGCAATATAGTTTCCCAATACTTTTCATCTTTGCCATACAACATTGAGCCGGTCACTTTAAGGGCCAAAGGAAGCAATCCGGCATGCGTGATTGCACGAACTGATAGCTGATGAAAACGATAAGGGCATTTCCGCTTCAATGCGAATTGATTGAAAAGTTGAAGAGCTTCAGCAACACTCAGTCTCTCAACTTCATATACATGTTTCACTCCACTGTCCAAAAGTAACCTCTCGTCTCGTGTGGTCACAATAACTCTACTTCCTGGGCCAAACCAACCGGCGACCTTCCAGACATCCTCTAACGCTTTGGTATTGTCCACACCATCAACTAAGAGCAGAACTTTTCGGTGTCGAAACCCTGATTTCATAACATCTAGGCCATCTCTAGAAGTCCTTAACGCAAAATCTTCTCGTTGCATGGCTTTTGACAGAAACTGTTTTTGTAGAGAGAAGGACGAGCTTTGGTCTTCAGCGATTTCTAGAAAAACATGGGTATGGAATTGATGTGAGATTCCTACGTAAGCATATCTCGCAAGTGTTGTCTTGCCAATGCCTCCTGTACCCCAAATGCCAACAACACGAACTTCTTTGTCAGATCCGAGCTCTAACAACCCTGACACAGCTTGCATGCGACTATTCATCCCAACAAGGCCGGTCGAATAGCATAGTGTGCTCCATGGAGTTGATACACTATGTAGGACAGGTACGTCAAAGATTATTTTCTCGTAATCTATAATACCCATAAGAGATTATCTTTCGTATCTAAACAATATAACTTCCCACTCGTCGCCATCTTTATCAGACAATCTCATCCCTAATGTTACTGTTGGAATTGTCCCACATTGGAAGTTTGGAAGATTTGTGGACAATATATATAGTGTGAGACAATCCTCCATTCTAGAGCTAGCTTTTGGGTGTGAGTTAGGCTCATTACTAATAGTTACGATGGTCGAAGGCTACCACCAGCCAGTTTGACTGCACGGCACGAAAGCTCTTCGAAACCAAAGGAAGGATGAGTCTGGTCGAAAGCATGGAGACAGAAAAGTTGAAGAGCTTCAGAGAATTCCAGGCCTGAAACTTCATATTCTTGGTGGTTATAATGACTCTGCTCCCTGGACCAAATGAATCAAACTCCTTCCTCAGAGCATGAATACAGTCGGTGTCTTCAAGATTTTGTAGAACAAGGAGAACTCTTTTTTTGTTGCCCCGTGCTATTTTATCCCGGAGTTCATAAAGCAATTTGTCAAATCTCGGTTATAGTAGTAGAGGCTAAAATCATCTCTAGGACGTAGTTGAAAAATATCTTGCCAGACATGGATATCAAAATGGTGCGAGATCTCTTCATAGAGGTAACTTGCAAACGCACTCTTGCCGATGCCACGTGTGCCCCAAATCTGGATCCAACGAACTTCGTCTTTCAACCCTAAATCCAACATCCCGTGCATGGCTTTCATGTGGCGTCGGTTGGTGATTTTTCCGATCAGCTCCGCATCACCCTTCCTATGGCGGTGAATGGACAACACAGTATATACATGACTTAGGCTAATTCATTCATTGCTAATTGGTTTTGAGTTGAAAAATCTAACCCTAACAATATTACAAAGATTATGAAGAAAAAAAAAACAAAAGTACCAATTCTTCGAGTACTGGCATGTGGGAATGTCGGCTAGTTGGGAAAGTGTTTGCCTCCATGTTTGCACATTCGCAGGATGTTCTCTCTCGTGTAACGAGAATGGTTCCCATAGTTTCCCACTCTGTTTTCTTACATCACAAGGTTCAATATCATAGAAGACTGGTATTACATGGAGGGAACCCGAGTGGTAAAATCCCAGAATCCTAACGAGGCTTCGCAGGCACAAAGGCGAGGAGGCATACTTCTCCGAAATTAAAACAACGACCACTTTTGACTCTCCAATAGTCTGATCGACGACAGAAGGATCCGGTTCGGCTCCTCTCAACTCGTTTTCATCTTCAAGAGTTGTGATGCCTCTTCGATCCAAACGAACAGCGAAGATGGCTCACAAAGGTTCTTCGGGTTTCCTGACCTCGGAAACTCAGAAACACATAAAATTTCTGAGTCGAAGAGGAAAAAGAGACAGACATAAGTTTGTAGAGAAGACGGGTTCACTTTTGTTACTTTGTTGTTGTTAACAAGTAGTCTCTAAAACTCTATAAATCGGCGAGGAGAAGGCACTAAATGGCCTTAATTACATCACACTTAAGTCAACGTTAGATTTGGTGGACACTGTGGTTGATTGGTCGAGTTATCTTGTGACACAATGAAGTTATACTTGCTTAGAAAAAGAAAGGGATATTTTTTAAGAAAACAGTTTTGGTGGTGGTGAACAAAAACCAAATAGTATTATAAAATCGTACAAAACCAAATTTCATTGCTCACGGCATTAGACCATCTAATTGGAGTTCTTAACAAATTTTATAATATAAATTTTAAGAATTTTGATAGAATATTTTATTTTTCTTCTCTTTCATTAATAGAACCCCATTAAAAAATTTTAAGAATAAAAAAATTTATATTTTAAAATTATTTTATTTTAAACATAGTATATTTAAACCTAAAATATATAGCATTTAATGAAATTTTAAACATACATGACATAAAAATATTTAAAATATAGATTTCCAAATATTAAAACTTTCAAAAAAAAATCTGTCTAATCGTATTTTTGTTTTACAGATACTAAAACCAAATTTGTACTTTCATTTGGATTTTTAAGGTTTTATGTAATTTTATGCCGATCTTTTAATATATGTAACTAAAACTAAATACAAAAAACTATCAGTAATTATGGTGGTGAATTATTTCAGTTTAGTGCACAAATACAAAAAAAAACTAGTAATGTTCATTACACTAAAATCAGTTCCATTACAGTTTCCTAGCCTTAGTTTAATCAATTAGTTCTGGTTCTGAGTATTTTGTTCTGATTTGGTTCGGTGTTTTTGGTTACAAAACCTCACACAACTAATTTTGTTCATGTTAGAAAGATGAGGAAATTAGACTGGGTCAAGAACCCAACTTAACATTCGCACTTTTCAACAGATTTTCGAAACAAAACTTTTGGACATTTAAGGTCTGTCCATGGGTCCAAGACAGTGTCATTCTCTTCTGGATTTTTTTAACTTTTAGTGTTACACAAGTAGCTTTTTGAATTAATGTAAAAAAAGAAGAAAAAAAAGTCCAATATATAACCCACCCAATTAGAGATTAAGAGCATCAATAATGGAGAGATTTAGTGAAGTTTTTAAATGTAAAAGAAAAAAAAAAGAAAAAAAAATGAGGTGGCATAATTTTTTCAAAAAATCGACTCTGATAGAGGAGCTTTAAGAATGGACTCTCAAAATTTTATCTTTCATTTAATAATAAAATATTTTAAGAACTCATTTATTAAGTTCACCATTACTAATGTTCTAAGAACATGATTATTGGACAGTTTTTTAGGAGTTCTAAATAAAAAAGAAAAAAAAATTACATGGCGAAACTAAGAAGCAGAATCGTCTCTCTGCACAGAGTTTGCAGAAGTGCTCCTTAAGTAACGTGGCAAGATGCCATTGGTTAAAATTTTGTTTTTTTGAAAATCGATTTTTTTAATAATCAAAAAAATTAAAAGCTTCTCCTCTCAGCTCTCTGATAATGTTGTTCTAACATGTAGTGGGTTCTTAACAAGTTTCTAATTACGAATCAATTTTTAGAGTTTTTTATACATTAATTATTTATTTTTTAATTTTTAAATCTGAAGAAACCCCTTTCTAACCATGTGCAATGCTAAAAACACTAAGATACCTTTCTTAAATATAAAATATTAATATAATATAATAATATAAATAAATTTTAAATATAAACAAAAAAACCAATTATATGATGACATATGTGTAGAAAAGTAAGAGTCAACTCTTAAATGAAAATTATAAGATCTGTTTCTTTTCCGATTTCTTGCTTTTTTATTTTTTTTAATATTTTTTTTAAGTTAGGATACTGATTAAAATTAAATGGACAGCTTTCCAATTTTCTCATTTTTTTATGAAAGCTTTCCTCCTCCATATGCCAATGACGTCCTTTCCCTTACGGTGTTTTTCTTTTTTTTTTCCATCTAAATGGTGTTGTTATTATTGAACGGAAGAATCATTGTTTACAAAAGACATCAGAAAGTTTGGACAACAATAAAATAAACTCCAGTGAGATTCAGACACAGCCTCCTGTTTCGCAAGCTTGTCAGCACATTGGTTTGAAAGACGATTTCGGTAAGTGAATTTGAGCGCTGAGAACATGGCTATCCAGCTTTTAATAGTGTGGATGTAATGTCGTAACCTGAGATTAGCAGCATCACAGTTGAGTAGCTTCACAATGTTAATGTTATCACCTTCGAAAATCACCTTTGTATAACCTAAAAACCATGTAGATTGTAAAGCCCAAATAAGTGCCGAACATTCAGCTTCTTCAGAAGTATAACGACCCTGATATTTGTCCATACCACCATTTAAGAAAACACCTTGTGAATTTCGTAAAATCCACCCCAGACCTGAATGCTGGTTAGTCATATGATGCGAAGCATAATAATTGCATTTTGTCCAGCCATAAGGGGGTGGTGTCCATCGTTGCAAAGCTGTAGGGGGAATGCCAGGCGACATGCGTGGTTGATTATAATCAAAGTCGGAAGAGTGTTCGAACCATTCTGTAGTAGCGTCGTGTGCACGTTTGAGAAGGTCCTCTACCGAGAGGGAGTTATTATTGAACACTAGATCATTTCTACTCTTCCAGAGTTGCCAAAGAATCCAAAATGGGAGAAAATTGCGGTGACGAGATGTAAATCTTTGGGAGCTTATGGAAGTTAGATATAATAACTTATTTTCTAAGGGAAGAAGAGGATTAGCAATATGATGTAGAGCCATACCGGTACGTCGCCAAACGCATAGAGCATAAGGGCATGAGAAAAAGACATGTTCACTTGTTTCCTCATGCCAGCAACATCTGGGACAGAGGGGATCAGCGTTGATGTGACGGTTGCGAAGGTTAGCGAAGACTGTAATCGCTCTTGAGGATATTCGCCAAAGAAAATGTTGTAATTTTCTTGGAATATTTAGTATTTATTGTGCGTAAATTATAATTTGTGGAAAAAAAAATCAACTTGCTTATTTTTGACAATCTCAATTTTGACTTTTGATGAGACACATGATAGGACTATTCGAATAAGCAAGTTACTTGATTTCCACAAATTACATTTTAGTATTTTACAACAACACACTGTAATACAATTTGTTTTTGAAAAAAAAACACTAATGGAAAGGACGTCATTTGTGTAGAAATGTCCAATCGGTGTAGAGACACAGTTAGAGATATGCGTAATACATGAATATCTGATTACTCTGTTTTAGATCTTTCTCCTCTCTTTTATAAAGCACAATGTAATCGATTCATTATGGAGATATCATATTACATCTTCTACATGGTATCAGAGCCATAAGAGATATGCTAACAAAATGTTGTAATTTTCCACAAAGATGTGAACTTTGTCTCGGAGAGCAAGTGAAGCTGCGTGCGCTCCAAGTAAATTTTCTTCATTGATCGAACACAATCATATCTTATCGATTGATACCTACGAAGAAACTTGATATTCTCCTCTGTTCTCTTCAAAAGATTTTATTCACTTGGGTGTCAAGAAAGATACTTTTCTTCTACTTCTCAATCTCGAATTGAAACATATACATAACCACATTGAACTTGAAGTTTTATCAATAGGTTTCTCAGTTATGCAAGACGAAGTAAAATAAAAATCTGAAAATGCCTGCGTGGTGGTTGTGATATTGCAGACTGAGTAATCAGACACATGCTCTCTCTTTTTATCTTGCTAAATGCTACTCTTACTGCAGATATGCAAGGCCATGTAGAGGGACTTGAGAACACGTTGTTTGGGATGCAAGTCAAGATTTGTTTTGTCTCCTTTTATTGCCTGATACCAGACTCTTGTGAGACCACCTACTACTACTACTCTATCAATCTACGACGTTGACAGCGATTTACCGTCTTTTTTCATACGTTTGTGTTCTTGTAGAGCTTAGTTTGAAAAGCTTAAGAAGAAACGATAGGCCTTAAGTATACAACATGCCTATATAATATTACCACTGGGAACAAGTAGTCAAATGTTTAAAAAAAAAAACCATACACTTAGTCGTTGGCAGAAATATAAAGACTTGCGACCCAATCAATACGTGTAAATCATTTAAAAAGACATGATCATGCCTCCCACTGTGGATTACCATTTTCAATTGTTCATCAACTCTCTCTCTCTCTCTCTCTCTCTCTCTCTCTCTCTCTCTCTTGCCGACTTCGTTATTGTGAACTTATTGGATCTTTGTCGTCGCGAAAGGGTATTTCAAACACATGTGGGAGATGATGCAATTAAAAAGATTTTAGAACTAATACATACTCTTTTCATCTATGTATCAAGATTAAAATCAGTTGGTGATGGCACAAAGAGTGGAAGCAATAGGCAGCACAGAAGGGTTTACATTTGATGATGGATCTGATCATGACGGTGTTTCCAAGATATTTGTTGGAGGTGGTCTTCAAGGCATTCATTACATGGAGTTTGAATATGTAAAACATGGACAGCTGAAATTTGGAGTACTCGTTGGTCGTCGGCATAAAGGTTTCACAGAGACGGTATGTCTTTAAAGTATACTAAACCTATAAAACTTAACCTATACTATTTATTTGGTTTTATGTGAATGGTAATAAACTCATTCATAATCTTTGTTTTAAACATTCTTTTTTGCAGTTTGAGATTAATCATCTCAAAGATGAATATCTTGAATCTGTTGAGGGTTACTACGACCACGAATCCGGTTACATTCAAGGACTTCAATTCAAAACAAATTTCAGGATATCAGAATTGATTGGATATGACAAGGGTCACAAGTTTAAACTTGAAGTCAAGGGAAAGCATATCATTGGCTTTCATGGATATATGAGCAACAGAAACATCATCTCCCTTGGAGCATATTTCACTTCCACTCATCCTAATAGATCAGAAGCCAAAGGCAGCAAGGGAGGCCATCAGTGGGATGATGGAGCTGACCATGACGGTATAACAAAGATTCATGTACGAGGTGGTTTTGAAGGTATTCAATACATTAAATTTGATTATGTCAAGAGTGGAAAACACCATGATGGATACATCCATGGTCTCTCGGGTAGCGGTTTCACGCAGACGGTAATTCCCTTTTTACCATTATTGAAATTATTTCTAATCTTTTTGTGTCCACCAATTCCTTTTTTGTCTTTTTTTTTTTTTTTTTTTTTTTGCAGTTTGAGATTGACCATCTCAACAATGAACATCTGGTATATGTAGAGGGTTACTACGACGATGTATCTGGTGTTATTCAAGCACTTCAGTTCAAAACAAACATCAAGACTTCAGATGTTTTGGGATACGAAAAGGGTAAGAAGTTTTCACTTGCATGCAAAGGTAAAAAAGTAATCGGCTTTCATGGATATGCTGACAAGAATCTCAACTCTCTTGGAGCGTATTTCACAACGGTTTCTCTTACCAAATCACAATGCCACGGTGGTTTGTATGGCATTGATTGGGATGATGGTGTTTTCGAAAGCATAAGAACAGTGTATGTCGGTTATAATAGCACAAACATAAACTGTATCACGTTTCACTACCATAACCGCACAGTTGTAGAGCGTCAACATGGTTGGCGGTGGGAGAGTATACAACAAGATGGAGAAGATCAAGAAGAAGAAGAGGTTATAGATCCTGCAAATTTGTATATATGTATACATGTATATTGCTTGATTATTTTTTTATGAGAAGTTTGATTCTGCTGCAGTTTGAGCTAGACTATCCAAATGAAGTGATCACATATGTGGAGGGGACTTACAAAAGATTTGGGCCTGGCAAGGTGAGGGTTACCTCATTGGTTTTCAAATCATCTGAAGGGAGAACCTCTCCGACATTTGGAATCGTGTCTGGTACCAAATTTGTGTTGGAGAACAAAGGTTGTGCTGTGGTAGGGTTCCATGGACGACAGGATGATCGTGATCTTGTTGCTATTGGAGCATATTTTTCTCCAATGCCTCCTCCTACCGCAGAGAAACTACGACCACAAGGTGGTCTTCGAGGAGATTCATGGGACGATGGTGTTTTTGAAGGTGTTAGAAAGTTATACGTAGGGCAAGATGACAATGGTGTTGCATTCCTTAAGGTTGTGTATGGAAAGGACACTAAGATGGTTATCGGTGAAGATCATGGACACAAAACACCACTTGATGTCAAAGAGGTTGGACTTTTTTCTTTTTTTTCTTGAGGGGTTTGGATTTATTATGTTTACATTTTACATTGATATGTTTGTGGCAGTTTGATATCGAATATCCAAGTGAATACATTACGGCCATTGATGGTTGTTACGACAAAGTAATTGGAAGTGAAGTCGAAGTTATCACTATGCTTAGGTTTACGACGAACAAACGAACATCTAGATCTGTCGGATTCGAATCTACCTCAAGCTTTGTCCTCTACAAAGAAGGCTACAAAATTGTTGGATTCCATGGAAAATCAAGTAACATGATTAATCAACTTGGGGTCCATGTTGTGCCCTTCACCGAGTGATTACCTTCTAATCTCTTATGCTCTCTTGAATTGATTGTACAATAACTATTATCGTGCAATCAGGACCGGTTCTGGACCAAACGAAATGAAACATTTTTTTTGGCCTTCAAAATTTTTTAAATTTTTAATATTGAAAACAAGCCTCTAATTTTTATTTTAAAATTAACATTTTTAATTATTTTTAAAAATATATCTATTAATTCTTAATTTTATTTTTATATTTTGTTCAAATCCTTACAATTTTAGGACCTGCCCTGCCTGCAATGCCCTATCCTCGTAAGAAAACATCATCCCTTTTTTTGTTATTGTTTAATTTATACATGTAACTTCGGTCAACCTAAACTAGTGACATGTGCTTGCATACTAATTCAAATTACCAATGCTTTAAGATGATTATTTTTAGTTCTAGACAATCTAATCGCATAATATTACTTCATCCGTTTCCGTTGCATGTGTTTTTTTGTATTTTGTACACGTGGCTTTTCTAAAATTACTCAAAATAATAACGTGTGGACTCTCTCAAATTTTAATTACCAAATAAATTAGTTGATGCATGTGTACAATTATATGACTTAAAAAACCTATAATTTTAAGGGATTTACTCTTATCTGAGAAGTGAGAAGTTCATCTAATTTGGATCTCGTAGAATTGGTACAGACAAGATCTGGTACATAATTATATGGCCTAAACCTATAATTTGAAGGGATTTACTCTTATCTGAAAAGTTCAAGTAATTTGGATCTCGTAGTATATTGGTACCAATAAAGACAAAGATGGTTAACTCCGGTTAAGGGTTTGGTATCTTTGAGTTAACAAACTTTTGACAAAACAGATAACAAAGCCAATCGAAATGCAGTGAAGGCCAAATAAGTCATGTTCTAGTTGAACAACTCGAGGAGCAGAAAGCTTGTTGGTGCTTTGAGTTGCTTTAGGAACAAACCATAGTTGTGTTCTGTCTCTCTTATTGAAGTTGTTGTTAAATAATAATTGAGGAGACGCAAAACATGGAAAATACTTTTCATTTTTGTTAAATATAAAATACATTACTATAATAATACTGTATTATTCCTTCAAAATCTCATGTTCGGTCCCAGAATCTAACTCTGAAAATATGTTTAATTAATTAATTAAAATATAATTAGAAAAATAGAGAGAGAGAAGGAGATTCAGTAGATGACACGAGTCACTCCACCACCACTAAAGCTTTTTCTTTTTTGTCTTCTATTCGATTCCGCTTAGAAATTTGTTGTTGGGTTTGGTTTCGATCGATTCTAGAAATTTGTTCTGCCCCAAATCCCAGTTTAAAAGCGAAGACTTTCTCTATCTCTCTCTCTCTCGCTCTAAAGCTATCTTCTTGGTGCCATTACCAGCTGGGTTTGCTTCATAACAGTGATTAAACAATCTGCAAGCTTCAGATTTCTCCTTCAGGTTTTTCCGATTCCTTTTTCGTTCTTAATTTCGACGATTCTCTGTTTTTTTCTTCTCCTCTTCTGTTTCTCTGTTTTGTCCTAATGTTGCTGTCTCCTGTGATTAAAGATCCCATCTTTGAAATTAAATGCACCGCCTTTCATTTTCACTTTAAATTTTCTGTGATTTGTTTAACAGTTTGTGAACAGATTTCTTCCTAAACGGAAGCTTTGATGACTGAAGTATTCTTTTCCTGCTGTTTATTAATTGCTAATTAATGTTTAACCAAAGCAACTTTTTAATGGAATTTCTCTTTGCCCATTTCATCAGTTTTATGTTTATTTACTTCCCTTAGATCTGGAAAAAAAAAAGTTTCAAGAAAATTATAATAATTCATTGACAACACTTTGTTTCTATTCGATTACTTAGCCGTTTCGCTTTCGTCGTGGCCCAGATTGTTCGTCGGTTTCTGAGAGAGTGAGTAAACTCTGAAATGGCCAATCTCCGTTTGTTTTCTTATGCTGTTATGATATCTACTCAATAATCTTGGTAAAATATCTCCTCCCATTTATGCTTTTCAAGAAAAGATTTGTAGATTACTGGATTACATGCTAAAAAGGTTTCGATTTTTATTTCCTTTTCTTCTGTATAAGAAAGCTTGTTAGATATCTTGGAGTCTCTTGGATTTTAGTGTGTTCGTTCCCTTTTGTAATGTGGGTTCTTGTGTAGATATTCAGACAGATTACCTTCTTTGCATGTGCCTAGATCAACCTGCTATAGAGAACTGAGATTTGGTGTCCGAATAGGTTTCTTTGTTCTCTGTTCTTGTGAAGAGAGCTCTTGATTCTGAAGGAAACACAAGAACGGTGGCTCTGGTGAGTTTTCTAATTGCTGAAACTTTTGAAATGTCTTTGTCTTTTTAATGGAAATTGATGAAATTTTTGCTTTGTGTTTGATGATTTTTGTAGCTCGGTAAATAGGATTATGGAACATGATTTACCGTCTTTTAAATCATGGAAATCACTTGTTAAGAGAAGAAATAACGCTCAAGAAGGGGTAAAGGCTTATTTGTTTTTTTCTTCATAGATCTTGGTTTTGTGATGCTCGATGAATCTTTGCTGTTTTAGACTTTTGATTTGATGTGCGAATACCGGAAATTTGCAGGGTAAATCGTCATGGAAGATGAAACCGGTTATGGCGCTCATGTGTACAGTGCTTTTGATCTTTTGGTATAAGACCACAAATATCCAGTATGAACAGACTGAGGTATGTGAAAAGAGATCATTTTTGATTTCTTACGAGCAAGATTACATCAAAAGGAGCGTTTTTAATTATGAAATGTAACCCTCTTTTTGTATTGCTCAGAGAGAAGAAACAGATTATCCATTTGAGATGGCAAAGGTAACATTTTTCTTAATGCTCTTCCCTTTGTTTTCTAATGATGATGTGTTTCTTAATCCGGTTGAATCTTGTATAGGAATCTGAACCGGTCAGTGAAAAGTTGAAAGGCTTACCATTTGGTATCATACAGCCTAGATCAGATTTGGAGTTAAAGCCACTTTGGTCAAGTAGTAGTTTGAGGTCAAAGGTTAGATGTTTCTCTAAGCTTCAATTAGCTTAAAGAGTAACAAATGTATATCTGCTGCAAGAGGAATTTCTTATGTCTGTTGTTGTCTGAAAACAGGGAGGCGAATTGACAAACCGTAACTTGTTGGCAATTCCTGTAGGACTCAAGCAAAAGGATAATGTCGATGCTATTGTAAAGAAGGTAATGTAGTTTTGCCTGTGTCAGTGAATTAGTGAGATCATTGATGATCGAGTAAAAGCTTCTCTTTTCTAATGTTAGTTTGTTTGTTTGTTGTATTTCAGTTTCTTCCGGCGAATTTCACTGTTATTCTATTTCATTATGACGGAAACATGGATCGATGGTGGGATCTTGAGTGGAGCTCAAAAGCCATACACATTGTTGCACATAACCAGACAAAATGGTATAATGATTTCTTCAATATAAAAAATCTAATAAGATCGGTTAAGTATGGTAGAATCTTGTGTGTATGTAACAGTGGTTTGCTGAACAAAATTTGATTTTACTCAGGTGGTTTGCGAAACGGTTTCTTCATCCGGATATCGTCTCCATTTACGATTATGTTTTCCTTTGGGACGAAGATCTTGGAGTGGAGAATTTCAACCCACAAAAGTATAATTTCCATTTACTCCCTTCCACATTGTAAAAATTTTGCAACCTGTAAAGGTTAAATCTTGGTTCATAAACTAAACAATCACTCTGCAGATACCTGAGGATAGTGAAATCAGCAGGACTCGAGATATCTCAACCGGCGTTGCATCCAAACTCAACCGAAGTTCACCATCGGATTACAGTCCGGTCTAGAACGAAAATATTTCATAGGTTAGTACTTAGTTCCTGTGAACCACTTCTTGATAATTCTTGTCTTTGATTACTTACACCAAATGGTTTACAAAATTCGCAGACGAGTTTATGATAGTAGAGGCAATATGAAGTGCTCAAATGCTAGTGAAGGGCCTCCATGCACCGGGTAACATAGAGATTCAAGACTTCTCTATGTACAAGAAGACTGAGTTTTTTGGTTTGTTGCTCATATCATTATTCTGTTTTTCCAGGTTTGTTGAAGGAATGGCTCCAGTGTTTTCAAGATCTGCCTGGTTCTGCACTTGGAATCTAATACAAGTAAGTAACTTTTACTAGATGATCTGTTCTTCAACTTCTACTTAAAGCTAACTTCTTTATTTTTGTTTGTGTGTGGTTTGTAGAATGATCTGGTTCATGGGTGGGGAATGGATATGAAGCTTGGGTACTGTGCTCAGGTAAAATCTAGTTTCTTTTTTCAAGAACCTTGCAACATCATTCACAAAATGCATTCTCTATATGTTGTTTTAAAAAAATGTGGTTATAGGGTGACCGTAGCAAGAAAGTTGGCATTGTCGATAGTGAATATATCTTCCATCAAGGCATTCAAACTCTAGGTGGAAGTGGTTATCCGGAGAAGAAGGTAAAGATCCTCTACTTCACACTTGTTTCTTTCGTTGTATATACGAAAACTTGATAAAGAAATGATCTTTTCTTAATTTACATTGTTCCACAGAACTCAGCTCGCAGCGTAGTCAATAGGGTAAGCTATTTTACAATCCAAAATCTTCATTTCTTGAATCTTGAATGTTAAAAAAATAGAAAGTTCACAACTTTGGTCACTTTTCTTTGTTATTACAGAGACGTGGTTCTGCGACTTTTGATTCAAGAACAGAGGTGAGTTTATTATTATACGATGGATCTGCGTTTGGGAATCTGCTTTTGTCTCTGTTAACTTGTGTGTTTTCGTGAGCAGATAAGGAGGCAATCAACATGGGAGCTTCAAACTTTTAAAGAAAGATGGAACCGAGCGGTTGCGGAAGACAAGAACTGGGTCGACCGGTCTTCGTCGACTCGGAACCGGATTGGCAATAACCGGAGATTAAAACGGAGTAGTGTGATTTCAAGTTTATTGCAGAGGAAAGCTGAAGAGACTACTACTACAACATAAACACATACAGTTTTAATCAGATTAAATATAGAAAAGAAAAAAAAAAGTTTTTGTTATTGTCATATATAAGTTAATATAGTTAATCATCCTTTCTCTTTAATTAGTGTAGTTTTTATAATGGTTTTTAGATGTTCGGTCTCTCTTCATCGAATCAACTTGTTTCAGCATATAAAGTTTTTGAAAGAAAGCATGGGTTCATATTAAATTTGCTTTTTATTAAATTTAGGAACATAAAGTTCAATTCTTTTTCTCAATAAAACACACTTTTTCTAAACCCTTTATCAAAAAAAAATACACACTTTTTCTTGTGGGTTAAAACTTAAAAGAAAAGAACACTACTTTGGTTTGTAGATATAGAAAGCAGAAATAACATCAACTTTACTTCCAAATAAGGTTTTCTCCACTTTTTTCATATATATAAAAAGATGAATAATAACTTGTAACTTCTTGTTTTTTAGATTAAAAAAACTAATTTGTACCAAAAAATGATTAACAACTAATCAAGCTTGAGCATGATTTTTCGCATTTGTTTCTTAAAAACTGCAAGACAATATTTAAATACTTTTCAGACGTTCTTAGAAGCAGACAAGATCATTGACCAAAGGACCATTTCCCATTTGTTCCTTTCTACCTCCTCTCTCTCTTTAGAAAATTCAAATTATTTGAAAACTAGAGTCGTTGAATAATTAAAAAAGAATTGAGGCTAATATATAAATTAGCTTAGGATTGTGATGACATTATATTTTAATGAATCGACTGATTTCACAACTAATTAATTAGTGTAAAGAGAATAAACAGAATTATATAAAATTAGACAGAATTATATATATACTGTATATGTGTATATAATAAAGCTTCTCTTCAACGTTCGGCTATTTCTTGGTCCGTGCTAAGATCTTAGATCGATTTTAAGTCGTCTTCTTTCTTCTTCTGATATTAAGCTCTCTCAAGTCTCAACCTTCTGAAGCTGTAGTCTTCTATAGCCATGGCTAATCGTAATCGTTATGATCCGAATCCTTTCGCTGAGGAAGAAGAAGTCAATCCTTTCGCTGTAAGCTTTCTCTCACTTAGGATTAAACTCTTAAAAAATTAGGGATTTAATCGCTCTCGAATCTTGCTTCTCGGAAATGGGTCTTTGAAATTTTGATGGATTGATTTACTCTTAGGAATCATAGAGCTTTACTTTAGGGTTTATTTGGGGGAAATCTCTTTTTTTTTTCTCTATACGTTTAGTTTTTTTTGTTGTTGGTGTTTTATTTATCCACTGGTTCGTTGCTTAGAACCTGAAAATGGGTTAATGGAATTGAAAAATTTATGAAAGATTGTAACTTAAGTGTTGTTAAAGTTTCTAGCTTTCATTTGATTAATTTTAGGTTGTTCTTGGGTTTGTGATGCTTATCCCTGCTATTAATTTCACCAATTTAAACTGATAGATGTTTCGCACTGGATTCTGAAGGTAGAAAGTTTTTTTTTTTTTGTCATCTGATTCGTTATGTTGGTGAATCCAGTTTACATTATATAGAATTCAAGTGTTGTTAAAGTTTGTAGCTTTCATTTGATTAGTTTTAGGTTTTTCTTGGGGTTTCTCTGCTATTTAATTTCAACAAAAGCAGTAGATGTTTCTCACTGGATTCTGAAGTGATAAAGTTTGTATTTTTGTCATCTGATTCGTAATGTTTGTGAATCCAAATATACATTATATAGAATCCTGGGAGTATTCCACCAGCATCGAATTCAAGACTTTCACCTTTGCCTCCAGAGCCTGTTGGTTTCGATTATGGTCGAACCGTAGACATTCCTCTTGACACGGAAAGATCCGGTACAAAGGTTGGTTAGAGATAATGGAGTAGATTTTTTGTCATTTTATATTATGGTTAGCTCGGTTTTGGAGTTAATTATGATGCCTTTTTTTTGTCTTGTTTTAATTGTTTGGGAATCTAGGATTTGAAGAAGAAAGAAAAGGAACTCCAAGCCAAAGAAGCTGAGCTAAGACGAAGAGAGCAGGTATTGGCTGCTAAAAAGTAGTTATGCACTTTGCACTATGCGTAAACATGATTCTTTCAGTCTTTCTTTTGTTTTCTTGGTTCCATGATCAAATCTTTAAAATGTTGTTGCTTTACCTAGCTGCAGCTTTGTTGTTTTTCTGAATGTTTTTTTTTATTATGGTTCTATGTAGGAGGTAAAACGGAGAGAAGATGCTGCTGCACGAGGTACTTCGCTATAAAGTTTACTCTTTTTCAAAACTTGTTTCCAAGCTGTCTCGTAGAGTTGTTGTTTTGCTGAATTTGTTAGTTTGTTCTCTTTTAGATGTGTCTCAATTGATTGATTCCTTTTTTCTTCTTATTCAAAAATCACTAACTGTTGTGGTTCTCTCTACGCAGCTGGAATTGTTATTGAAGTGAAAAACTGGCCGCCGTTCTTCCCACTTATCCACCATGACATTGCAAACGAAATCCCGGTTCATCTCCAAAGGCTACAGTATGTTGCCTTTGCAACGTATTTGGGTATGTATTTTGTTATCCGTCATTTGATACAAATAATTCTCTTTCCTGCATTTGTAATCAGAGTTAAGTGGTCACACTTTTTTGCAAGCATGAGATCTCTGTCTGTTGCTTCTTGTTCATTTGATTGATACATTTAGATGGACTTCTTGTTCTTCAGGGTTGGTTCTTTGCCTTTTCTGGAATATCATTGCCGTTACTACAGCTTGGATCAAAGGAGAAGGTTTGTTTCTTAAGGCTATTTCAAAGTTTGCTCATTCTTCTCTAGGATGCATATATAACAGACTTAAGCGTTTGGTTTATTCTTGTTCAGGAGTGACGATATGGCTTCTTGCTGTGATTTACTTCATAGCGGGTGTCCCAGGAGGCTATGTGTTATGGTATCGGCCTCTCTACCGTGCCTTCAGGTTTGGAGTTTTCCACTCTCAAAAGTCTGGATTGTGTCACTGAGATTCTAACATTTTTGTTGTTGAATGTCTGCAGAACTGATAGTGCATTGAGCTTTGGATGGTTTTTCTTGTTCTATATGGTGAGCGAAGATTTAGCTTTTTATGACATTTTTTACTCGGTATGATTACTAATTCTAAAGCTTTGTTCTTGCTGCAGCTCCACATTCTTTTCTCTGTCTTTGCTGCTGTTGCTCCACCTATTGTCTTTAAAGGAAAATCTCTAGCGTAAGTTTTTCGATTTTTCTCTAACATTCCAAGTTGATATTGTCACTGCTTTTGGTAATTTGAGTGAGGAGATACCATTTGAATTGATCAACTTCAAAGCAAAGAGAAGTTTTTTGTTTTATTCTTACCATAGTTGCATAATCAATTCTTAGCCATTGTTCTTGACAAAAGTATTGTTTTTGTCTTCATGTAACAGTGGGATCTTACCTGCAATAGATGTCTTAAGCGGTAATACATTGGTTGGGGTAAGCTCTCTTTTTCACCCTTTGATGATCAAAACAATTCTAAGATAAAAAAGCCTGAAGCTTGATCTTTATAGTTATCGATCATATGGATCATTGAGCTTATTTTGTTCTGTTTTACAGATATTCTACTTCATTGGGTTTGCGTTTTTCTGCCTCGAATCAGTGGTCAGCATCTGGGTTATTCAGGTCTCTCTTTCAACTCCAATATCAGTCTTTGAACCATAGTGTTTATCATCTCAAGATCGTTTTTTTTAACATTTGATGTTGGGATGGGTTTTGATTTGTTTGAGCAGCAAGTGTATATGTACTTCCGAGGCAGTGGGAAACAAGATGAGCTGAGACGAGAAGCGGCGAGAGGAGCCTTGAGAGCCGCCGTATGAGAGAGCTCTTCCCTGTTACATTCTGGTTTGTATGTAATCTTCACTGTTTCTTTGTTTGTTTTTGTTTCCACGTCTCCCTCTCTCTCTCTCCCTCTCTCTCTGCTCTGTAAGCAAAAAAAATTCAATTTTTTGTTTGTACCTTTAATCTCATGTAAATCTGTTTGTTCAAAAGTCAAGAGTTCTGATTTATTCCATTTTTCGATATTATATAAGAGTCTTGCATTCACACTTTATTTTTTTTTGCATTTGGGTTTCTAGATTACAATACTCTGATGGTTATTTAACATTGCATTTTAAAAAAATAGCAGTTACATACATTTTCAGATAATTTTCTATGGAATCATTCTGTTCTCAACAGTAAAAATAAAAGAATGTTGCAAGTTGTAACCATTGTTATATTTATTTGTATTGTTCAAAAAAGAGCTCAAGAGGATTCAGAGAGCCTTAAACAGCTGCTTACTATATAATATAACATTTTCCCTCGGCAATCACATTTCAAAAACAATTAACCTCACATTTCTTACAGTCGAAGCTGCAACCACCGCCTCCTCCACCACCACCGAAACCACTGCCGGAGATATTAAAAGACGTGAAGCATTTCGCCGGACACGTTAGTTTCTTCTTGTAACAATGACCTTTCTCTTTACACACCAACGATGGTCTCACCACACTTCCTTTCCTGTATTCGCCGCTTGTTACGGCATAACTGCCACCGGGTCCGCTACCCGGTAAATTGCAACCGCTTGCTACGGCATAACTACCACCGTTTCCGATACCAACACTGCATCCAGGTCCGAGCTCAAAATGTCCTCCTGGTGATCCATAGCCTTTGTCATTCTTGTTACTATTACCTTTGGAGTTTTTCTTGAGCTGATCCGAGAGGGGTTCGGGTCGGGTGGGGCGTGACTGGGAGAATGTAAGTGTGAGAAGCAAAATCGTTAAGAGGAGATTGAGTTTTGTAGTCATTTTTTTTGGGGAGGGAAGTTTGTCTTATGAAGAAAAGAGAATAGTTTAATTTATAGAAAATGTTTGTTAGATGTAGTGTGAAAGCATCTGGTTGCAAAAAAGGAATTATGTGATTACAGAGAGCATTAAATTGATTAGGAGGAGATGTTGATGATAGTTGAAATTTGAATTATGTGATTACAAAATCGAGTTGTTTGTCCACTGGTGGACCGTGGACGATCGAGTTTACGGTTTGATTCAATTTGATTCAATTTTAATCTGTTTTATAAAATTGAAAACAAATTTAGTAGGGTTATTGGTTCTATCATTTTAAATCTATATTCAAATTCTGTGTTATTGGTTGTATGATTTAAAATCTATATTCAAATTATGTATTATTGGTTCATGATTTTAAAATTATAGATTTTATTTTAAAAAGAATTTTAGTGGATTTGGAAGGATTGTCATATTAAAAATATAAAGACTCAAATTCAAGCTTAAACCTATGATTTTGTAAAATCAACATGTTAAATTTTATAAAAATCAACAAATTTTATATTGATTATATGGATTCTTAAATTAACAAAATACATAAACCAATAACATTGTTCAAAAAAAAAAAAGTTGAAACCAAATATCGTAATTCATTTTGGTTACGCGTGGTTTGATAGAATTTTGGATTAATTTGGTTTGGATTTGGTATCAATAAAAACCGACTGAGTTGAATCATTTTGGATTTAGAGAGAGTAGTAAACTAAACAGGGCTAAAATATGAAATACTTTTTAAATTGAAAATATGAAAAAAAAAAAGTTTAACAATAACAAGATATGGAAAAAGGAAATAGAAAAGAAAAATATACTCAAGGTCTCTATCGCAAAGTCTCTAGTAATCCGAATCTGGTCGGTCCTTTCTCATGATGGTCTTATTGCAAATTGGCAAATGCAAACCCAAAAATGACTTTATTGCAGACAAAAAGATACGTCGACAGATAATTTTCCCACTTCACGTAGCTGAAGAGAAAGTGCCATTAAGTTCCTCAACTATCATCTACTTTTTTATTCTCAAACAAATATTGTTTATTTTATTTATAAGTATCTGAAGCTTCAATCCTTTATATTTCTAAGTATAACAAAAAATTATTTAATTTATTTATGATACTTCCAACTAATTTATCCATAATTGAGTAGTTCAGTGGTTGGATACTTTTTCTGTAATATAATCCAGTGGTTGGGTATTTTTGTAGAGGATACACTATTTAACATATTATTTCTTATAACACTAATTGTTTTAAATATTTTTTTGTGAGAGTTAAGTTTTATTTCAACGATTTACATACTTGTTGGGGGCCTTTTCTATTTTTTTTCTAAGAAAAGTCAATTGAAAAAGAAAATTCATTCACAAGAAAACCCCATCTGTCTACTAAGAGGGTGTATTAAAACTAAAATTTAGAGAATTTGAAAAAAAAAATTGAGTTTTAATAAAATTTTAGATGATTTTATGTGGATTATGGAAGTTGATATAATTTTATATTAAAATTATATAAATTCCCACCTAAAATAATGAGATTTGGTTTTCTATATTTTTAACTAACAAACTCCACCAAATCATTTAAAAGTATTCAATATTTTGTAAAATCCACTAATAAATATTTCTAATAACAGTGGATTTGATTTAGTTTTTACAAATTCTTGATTGAATAACATGAATGTTAAAGTTATTTTAATTGGTTTTATATAAATTTCATGTTCAATAACGTACATTTTGGTAAGACATTTAAAAATTATTAGTTAAATAACATAAAATTTTAAAATAACCACAAAATCTTCTAAAATTTCAGTTTTTATACAACCCCCTAAGAGTGTATTTGGTTCAACAACCGTATTCCATGAAAATGATTTTTCATATACACCTTTCGTAAATTATATTGGTTGTTAAATTGCGTTGCGTATATAATTCAGCTTAAAGACTATTCTCCACTAAAGATGATAATATATGGATACAAGAGATTTACCAAAAATATAACTAAATAAATTCATGGACGGAATTATGTTATCTCTATGCCTTGGAAGTATTGTTAGGATTGATGAATAGCATTGCTTTTACAATCTTAGGAAGCAAACGTAAATTGCACTACTAAATACTGAGGATAATCTCGATTTAATAATGTGCTTTTATTGAAGACTTTTTTAAGCTCAGTTCAGAATAAAAACACATGACTGCTATGGAATTTAGGAGATGAAGAGAAACTAGTTTTGAAGCGGACTAACAAGGAGTGCACTTCAATATGTTGTTTCATGACCTAAGGGAAAGTAGAAGAATTTTCGAGAGAAAATATGAAATGCTTCCGGAATGAAATTAGTATTCATGTGTAGACCAAGTCCTCGAAATATGAAGCAGAAGAATCGAATGTTTTGGAAATGAGTAACATGTAACTTATGTCAAGTAAATATTTATATATTTATGTGTCATTTATCTTCTGATACCCTTTAAATGTTGCAAGAAATGACTATGGTCCTTGCAATTATCTTAATAAATATCAATTGAGCTGAGTTGTTACAGTTATTAATATTTGGTATGAAATCTCATATAATTACACGATGATTGGTATGTTAATTTAATAGCACAATATCATAATAACTGAATAATAAATTAGTAGAATTAATAAGGTGAGTAAATTAAAAACTGAATAAATTCCAATCATTAAAAACAGATTTTTTTTTTTAGGAAACAACATCAAAATTTAGAACAATTCAGAAATCTAAATCTGTAAAACTTAATTTACATAATAGTATTAAGCATTATGCGTTAACTTGTCCGCATTTATGTTTTGAGTCTGTGGATTATGTGAGATAGAGAATAAGGTAAATTCTTTCTTGCTTGTCTTGTATTCTTCCAGATGTAGTGTGAACTGACTATTCTTTTAAATTAGACACCATTTATACATAAAAATATTAAAAGAAATTACATACCATTCAACCTTATTACATGACTCTTTAAATCAATTGACTAGTTATAATAACCTTATTACATGACTCTTTAAATCAATTGACTAGTTATAATTTGATATTTTAATGAAACAACTAAAAGTCATAATCTTAAGTCCAAACACATTACCTATGCTGTTGGGCTATGTCTTTGATTTGAGTGTCTTACTAGTTTACAAGAAAACTTATCACATAATTTAACTCGAACTGTTATACAACTAACTAAATGTAAATTGAACTTAAAGAAAAAAACAGACCTGATTTACCTTTTACGTTAAAGTTATTAAAAAAAAAAACTGTTTCACGTTTAATATGAGTTGAAATATTTACACACCTTAAAAATAAGTAGAGACTAATGTTACCGATCATATGAACAATAATCAGCAACACTTAGTTTGGCATAGTTAACAAATGGGTGTGTATATTCATCTTATGCAAGAGACATTGCAAAAGATATAAAAAAATTCTTGTAAAACCAATATATTAATATTCACAAACCTAATGTGTATAGACTAGTGACTACAAACAACATAAAGAAAAAAAAACTTTATACAAAGTTTTGACCGAAAAAAAAAACTTCAAGCTTCACAAACTAATTAACAGATTTTTGTTTCCCAACGTAACTTGTTTTTCCTTTTTTGGTTAAAATCCACTGCGGCTTTGTGCTACCCATGTAATCTTGTTTTTCTATTTTTGTGTATAAAAAACCCAAAAAAGTATATTATATAAAGAAACTGAAAATAAAATAATCAGAAAAAGGCTAAACCCCACGACTAGTTATCTCTTTGTACTGTCTGAGTGACTCCATTCTCTGCAACTTCATCTCCTCATTAAACTTATTAATAAACGCCTCAACTCGCCGATTCAACTCGTCCTGACTCAGCGACGGCTCTTTCCTCAACTTCCCTTTCGCCTTCCCCGTCGTCGTCGCCGCTTTCTCCTGAGACTGGTAATAGTTAGTCCTGTCCCTAAACGTCTCCGATTTCTTGTAAACCGGTTTCGCCTCACCGGAGGCGCCGGAATCTCCACGGCTAAACGTATCGGATCTCCGGTATAACTGTCTGGTCAACGGCGTTGACTTTCCTTCCGTTATCATCTTCCATGTATTCTCCAGTGTCTCGTTCCGCTTCGGCTTCGTCACTCTCAACGCTCTTCCACCTGAGGGAAAACAAAAACAAAAATCGTTATGAATTACACATTTGCCCCTCCGGAATATTGACTTTCACAATCACCGACGCGTGATATCGACCCCAAATTTGAATTTTCAAAATAATTTAAATTCTACCTAACCGTTTTATTAACATAACGTCGTCTTCTTCCTCTGTTTATTTTTTTTTCACTTTTTAATATCAAATTAAAGCTTGAAGAAAGGGACAAATCCGTACCTTCTGGATTGGTTTTCATCAATTTCCGGTGGCCGAACCTTGAAGAAACTAGAGGTTTCTCCGTCGGAGGGAGATTCTCCGATTCAGTCATCCTCGGCGGCAGATGATTCCAGTTTGATATCGGCGGCAATATAAACTCTTCATCTCCACCGGTTTCAGCCAGATCGGAACTCTCCGCCATAATCACGCTCTTAACCTCTTCTTCAATTTCATTCTCATCCTCCACCATCGCCACCGGATCTGTTATCTTCTCCTCCTCATCGTCATATACAACCGCCGTAACAACCTCCGATTCCAGTTGCGGAGACGGCGGATTCGTGACAGCGAAATTGAAAGTCGAATCCGGATCCAAATCCTTCACCACCAGCATCCGCGGAGAAGCTTGGTCATGGACAATCGGCTCCGTCTGGATCTTATAATCGCCGCCGGCGCCGTATACGACCCCATCGTCCTCCTGATCATGGCTTGTGCTTCGGTAATACTTGGAGGAAGCGACGATAGTGATGATAATTCCGTTGGTGATGAAGTAAAGATACGGCGGTTTCAGCCACGATAGCAGAGAGCTCCACATGATCGGAGCTCGCGACACGGAGAAATCGACAGCCGCCGGGACAGAGACCTTAAGAAATAGTGCTACGGAGGCGACGCCGCTAGAAATTAGCACCGCCTTGATAGTCATCAGCCACGAAACCATCTTCTCCGATTTCAGCTCTCTCTCACTTCTCTCTCTTTCTCTCTTCTCTCTCTTTCACGATTGTGAATGTTCGTATGGGGATGTGTGTACGGTACACAATCAGGATTATTTTCTGCTTTATATAGGGAGGGAAGTTATGTGAAGAGGCCTCTGATTTGATATCCGCCGTTAGATCTACGCTTGATTAGATGGAGGGTTAGGATTTATGGAGAACGATGGCAAAATGGGTCAGGTAAATCACCGGATTTTAGTTTACATTATCATAATAGTTTAACGATGAACATAAAACTAACCATCTCTTACGTGTAAATATATGTGTTAATAACTAATTAGTATTGATGTATCATCACTCTTTATTGAAAGTTACTGGTGGAATTTTTAAAATATATTCTAATGTTATAGTGTTTTGGTATGATGACCTCTGTAGATAGATGATGATAATATGTAACTACTTTAATCTAATACAAAGGATTGATTGTTTATACAATAACTAGCTAAGAAAGTCAATCAAGAATCTAGATTACATTTTGTGAATTAGAATATCTAATTTACATCACTTTCAACGAAATTTTGATCCCTGCTAATCTTACGTATCATTTACATTACAATACATTTATGTGTACATACTGTACGTGTACGTAATATTTGTTTTGAAGAAAATAGAACATGAGGATGAACAAGTTTGAGTTTTTTTTAATCCACATACAATTTTGTTTTTTTGTTGTTAATTATCCACAGACAATTCTTAACATATTATTTGATGAGAATTGTTCTAAAAAGGCTAAATATACTAGTATAAAATTTCTACAATCCTTATAAATCAACCTACAATATTACTTATGAAGTTATGAATCTAAACTTTCTTTTATTAAAACGTTTTGATTACTTATTATTCAAGCAACGGCCACTACATATACGTACACCAAATTAGATATTCTAATTCATTAGGCTTTTTCGACTGTAAAGCAATTGTGATGGCATCGAGAATATATTAGTATTTAAGTATAACTGTTGTCAAATTTTAAGTATTAATTAGTGATATGGTAATTTTCTCAAGTTGTTGAATTAGTGATGGGCGCATGTAACCAGATTAGTCTAGAGAGCAATAAAGTGATGTATATTAATGGCATGTGTATGGGGGCAAAGTATATACTTACTAATTACAGTATAAAATTAAACAACGCATTTTACTCGTAGTGTTGAAGGGATAAGAGTCTTGTCGAGGAAAAAGTGCTAATATAGTTATATAGCTTATAGACTAAGTATGTTGATGTGACGTCATATATTTTCCAGTATTATTTTGACCAAGAATTATAAATGATTAAATGGTATTCGTAAGGGCACCAGTCTGTTTTTTAAGAGATATCTTTACATAGAATAAAAATAAATGTTATATATTACAAGTAATAGAATATGAGTTTTGGAAAAAAAAATTCTTAGAACGTTTACTAGAATTTATCGATTACAATTTGAATGATATATAGTTGATTACTACTATTGACGTCTGAAATGGTAAATAAATGGTAAATAATTTTGATTTTTTTGAAGAACGGTATAGTTATGACGTAAATTTGTTTTGTTATTATCAAAACGAAAGGTCACGGTTTTTTGAAGGTAAAAGGAGCTTTTTCTCTTGGGTAATGGAAAAAGTAGTATTTTTTATGAGATAAAAGAAGCAAATAAATATTAATATATTTGAAGAAAGGGGGAGAGAGAGGTGATTCCGTGCTTGCGAGTTACAACGGTCATATATTGGACCGTTATATGAGGAAAGTTTCTCCCTGTTTGGGTCAGCGGTGAAGCCCCACACTGCTCGTGTCCAGCTGTTGTGGTCAGTGGATCCAACTCCAAAGTTTTACTCCGCAAGTGGCGCCATACCTTTACGCCTTTTTTTGTTGCTATTTATATTTACTGTTGGTATACACCAATTTTCTATTAAGTATGCCATAAACTTTTTAATGGAATATTGTAGAACATATAGCAAGTTTATCAAGTCAGATGTGCTGTATTTTGGTCGCCTACTCTCACCACGCACCGCATAGATGGAATGGGACGAAAGGAAACAAGTATAAAAGAAAATCTAAGGCCAAAAGAAGAAGAGATCAGACATATCGCATCTCATACGGATCTGAGAGAAAGAAAACATCTAAAAGATGTCTAAATAGGAAGAGGAGGAAAAACCTCTGACCTCCGCTTTCCTGGAGCTCGTACGAGCCCCGTGATACAGCAAATTGAAAGGACACGCTCATCACTCTCTGGAAGGAATCGGCTACTGAGATAAGTGTCATTTTCCTCTTTTATTATCTTTTTTTGTCTTTATGTAGAGAGAGCTCCTACCTCACTCTCTTCACGGTCGATCTCTTACAATTTCGTCCTCACTAAACATCAGATGGGTATCACGATTATTGGGTGAGATATCCAATTCATAATCGTCACTACCACCAAATCACCCTCCTGAATATATGTTCCCAGTAGAGTGTACATTGACTTTGGGTGTCAGAAAACCTTCGGAAGAGAAATTTCCTTTCTGTCCACTCGGGGTCTCGACTTACTCGTTTACTCATGAGTGCAGGACCCCGCTAGATTTTTATCTCGGAACCGCACACCGCTCATTCCACAGAAGACAAAACTCGAAGGCCGAACTCCACAAACCTCGATGATTACATACTCTCCATAAGTATCTTGAAATTTATGTATGAACATATATAATTATGAAATGTTATTTTTAGTATATGTAGCTTGAGACGTGATATTATTTAATTTATAAATAAATTTTGGTATTAGAATTTTCAGACAAAATTCAAGTACTCAAAATTGCCAGAAATATTAGGAAATAAGATTTTTATCAAATAGATTTGAAATCATATTTTCAACACAAATTTTTTTTTCGGGAAATTTACAGATTTCAAGTATGTAGCGGAAAATTTGTGGCAACCTATTTTGCTGAAAAGTTAGTTGATATCACATTTTTGACAAAATGTTTTTATGGATTCATAAATTTTGGCTAAAAATTCCTGAAATAAAATTAAAATACTCTAAACTAAAAATTTTGTGGGAAAGTTACAAATTCATAATTTTTGGCTAAAATACCTGGAATCGGATTTTCACAAAAAAATTTGAAATTATATTTTAAGTAATTTTTTTGGCAGAAAATTCATGAAATCAATTTTTTGATTGGTTGTTTTTGGAATCACATTTTCAATGAAAAGTTTTTGGCAAATTTTTTTAATGGATGCACTTTTTGGCAGGAAATTCACAATATCAAAATTCTGATAAAATATTTTTGGAATCACATTTTTGAGGTAATATTTTTGGTGGAAAAATTATTGATTTAAGTTTTTGGAAGAAAAATTGTATAATCTAGGTTTTGACGGAAAGTTTTTGGAATATTATTGTTTAGTAAGTTTTGTTGCGGAATATTTACATGTACAAGTTTTTTTGTGTGAAATTTGTGAAATCAGATTTTTAGAAGAAGTTTTTTATCAACTTTTGGTATCATCTTATCTTATCATATTACAAGTAAAGAACAAAAAATTATATTATATTTTGATTAATTCTAATTATATAATAAGAATTAGGAATCAGAAATGGAATGAAAAGTGATAGAATAAGATGAAAAACTATAATAAGATAAAAAAATATATGAATAAAAGTAGAAGACAAAAAAGACGAGAATATTTGTTTCAAGTATTTTGAATGTGGTATATATTCAATTTCGCTGCAGACAATTTTTCAAACTTATTAAAATATTTTTTTACTAACTAATTTTTTTGCAAATATATTACTGAACATATCAATAACTTATTTATTACAAATGATAAATATAATTATTAATTAATTTTATCAAAATTATTATATCCACACACATGTGCAAACTAACCGCCTAATATAACATTATTTGTAAGTACCTTTTCTTTTCATCCATAAATGTAATAGATTCAAGTCTTCACTTCACATATACATGGCCATGATTCTAAAGAAATCATTATCTGATCAACTAGTGTCTTGAAGAAAAAGAATTTAAAAGTATATAATTCAAATTAGCCTGATATTAACTAGTTAGTAATTCAAAAATTTCGTGGGAAATAAACGTGGTATCGAAGTATCTCGACTCTCTCTCTTCTCTTCCCCTTTTCTTTAGAAAAAAAAAATCCAGTTCTCGTGTAGTTCAGATTCTGGTCGGTGGTCATGGGCTTACAAAGCCATGGTATCGGTTTAAATTTTCTTTTCTGCTTTTTTTTGGTTTTGTTATTATGTTTCTGGTTTCATCAGATCTATAACCGATATGAGGTCTGTTTTGATCTTTTATTTTCTGGATCTAGTTCTCCTTTTCTAAATATATAATTTGGTTTTTTTCTTCTTGATATTCTGATTTCAAACTTGCTTGCTTTTCTTATCTTCTATGGTGTTTCTATGATCGCTTTCCAGTCTGCGTTAGTTAGGTTTCGCTTCTTTTCAGATGTTGAGATTTGATTATTTTCTTTGAGATTTCTATTTAGGTGAAAAATGGGCATATATTTTATGTCGTTATCGTATACTCGTATCCAGAAGTATGTTTGTGAATCTGTTACTGGTTGTCTTGTTGGATTATGAAGTCTTTGGTTCATGGTTACTAGAAGATGATGGCTCCGATTGGTAAGGACTGTGTGAAAGAAGAAGATTTCCCGTGAACCTTTACTTGTATTCACATCTCATTATATAGTACAATTGGTAACCGAAAGTTTAGGAGAGTTACACGTTCTATACACACGATCTCTACACGATTTAAACTCATAACTAAGTCATCGTTTATCACTGTGACTGTAGGCTGTGACTGTGGACTTTTGGCTGTAAAATTTTTAGCTTTAAAAACTGTGACTCTGATTGGTAATAAAAACTGTAGAAGTGATTGTTAATTTTTTTTTCTTAAAAATAAAATAAAAACTAATTTTGATAATATATTTATAAAGATGGAATAAATTATAATATTAAATTTTAAATATATTTTAATATATATTTAAACTGTTATGATTTGAAAAAGTTATATAATTATTAGCATAAAAGAATTAGTACAATTAGATTTTTTCAACAAAATTTAATCAATAAATCTATTGATATTGCGTTAAAAATCTAATAATTTGTTTATTAATTTATTTCTTTGAATGTGCTGTTATATTTTGTGTTGAATATGTATTTTAGTCTATTTATTTACTTAGTTAAGTCCAGATTTTTTTTGTTTTCTGATTAGGAATTAAAACTAAATAATAATAACTAATGATTTAGTTATGCTAAATTTTTTAAGATGAATTTATTATTATTAAAATAACTAATTTGACTAAGTATTACTTATTTGTGCTATTTATTTGTGTTATTTGTTTGTTTTATATTGTTGTTAAGTATCAATAATAAAAATGAGAAGAGAAGATAGAGAAAAAATAGGATTAATACGTAGTGAACACAAAAAGAGAGAAAGAATTAGAGATAAAAGTAGAAAAAGTGTGAATAAGGTGGTTGTATGAAAAAATGAAAAAGAAAGAAGGAAATATTAATGAGGTACTTTAAAGACTGTAGAAGAAAAATAGGAAAGTAAAGTGTGATTGGTTAAAAATTAACTGTAGATACTATAAAATATCTTACAGTCCTCAGAGCCATTACACCAATCAGACCAGATGTTACTGTTTAGTCGGCCGTGAGCGATAACTGTAAATCATGATTTGTAAACTCTCTGTAGCTCTGAAAATTGCAGGTTTTAGTGTTAATACCTTGTTTGGATTTTGGTTAAATTTATTCTATTTTAGTTGTGAGTTTTGTTTCCGGAAAAAAATTGTTTTCTGCCAGCTTTGTTTCCTTCTTTTGGGTTTTATTTCCAAAGATATTTTGTTGATTCACCGATTTTAAATTACACTTTTATATTCTACCTTATATTTTATTGTATTTTACTTTGAATGTTTAATAATATTAAATGACAAAAAAACTAGTTAGTAATTCTACCACGTAGTCTTATAGATAATATATTTTTTGTTATTAATGTTTTAGCAATTTGGCTATTTAAAATATAAAGTTAAAAAAAAATCCGACAATATTTTAAAATTAGATGAAAATTTGGAAAGTGTAAATGCGTGAAAAGTCGACTGTAACGTTCTTTATCTTTTTGTAGATTTTGTTGCTTTTACTATAATAAGCTGGAGAAGATTAATATTTATCTATGTTATGAAAAAAAGAAGGCATTTTATCATTTGTTTTTGCTAAAAGAGATAAACTTATTGGTCGGTCTCCTAAATCACCTTGACGTAAGGCTTTTGGTCACTATTATATTCCCAACCATTTCTCTAATCCAATTCTTAGTCAATATATATCATATACGAATACACATTTTTCTATAACATTTATCACAAAGCTTAAGTAAGACATCTATATAAGTTTTTCTTGAGATAGACTATTATAGCACAACAGACAGTAACAAAACGAACGAGAGTACTTTGTTAGCATACGTCTCTATACATCACGTAAGTCACAACTATTTAGTATTATATGAATCTATTTTACGATTTAAAAGCACTCGTAAAAAAAAGCTGGATTTTTTAAAAATGCGAAGAACAAAACGGGAGAAGTTATAAATAAGATATATTATTGATAAACTTCGATCCCAAACTACAACACAAATTAGGGTTGGTTTTAGTGTGATGAGTCGCAAATGGTTGCGCTATGAGCACAGTTATCATTAAGCTGCGACTATATTCAATTGAACCTGTTAGTTCTTTACCAAAAATAGTTCATGTATACAGCTTTTGGAGTAAACTATACTTTTTACAGTGTGCATGCATGTACAAGTTTCGAAAATAATGTGCTGTGTTACAGTATAATGGCATGCTGCAAATTAATCTTTCTATAAAATTTTGTCAGATTTTTGTAATATTGGATTTGAATGGTTGCTAACTTGCTATGAATGGAGAAGACTACAAAAATAGACCGTATATTTGTATACAAATAAAAAAAGCTTGATTGGTTGTAAAACAATGAATGGATCATACGACAAAATATCATTGTTTTGTTTTTCGATCATTTTCATAAAAAGAAAAATTCTGGTTTATACTAGTCTTTGGCTAGATTCATCAATTATAAATTGCTAGAAAAATTAAAGCTATTACTACATCACAGTCTTTGGCTCGAAATTTCGTAGTGATAACGAAGGAGCAAAACGACAACGTTTCAACTGTCAAGTTGACAACTGTTTCAACTGATAGGTAACCGTCGGTTTTGTCCAACGGAATAGACTGTGGCTTTATGAAACACTGAATGCCTCCCCCCTGCGATTGCAATCCACGCGCTCGTATTCGCGTATTTGAATTTTAGATGACGTTGTCCTTGTCTCTGGCTGTTAATTGTCCGGAAGAGTAAAAGTCCATGTGTCGTTAAAATACGGTATGTCTGAAACTCACGCGCTGGGATTCGCGAGTATGGATAATGCCATCTTGTACCGGTAAATTACTCGTGGGTCAAAACTGTTTAAGGAGAATCTATTTGAAGATCCGTTTTCTTGTGCACCGGCCAGAGCTGAAGAGATACGACACGTGTCGCTTGAGCAACCGTGAATTAGGTCTTCGATCTTCTCGGTTCTTCATTTAATATTTCGTCGCAGATAATGTGAATAAATTGCGGAATGGATAAATCGGTATGTAAAGGAGACAAATGTAATAAATGGTGATACATACTAATCGTTGACTGTTTCTGTTAAAACAAAGAGAGGAAAGACTTTTTTTTTTTTATCATTGATTAATTTAACCAAATTATACGATGATATTCGCTAGGTAGCATCAGTTACCAAACTACGTGTGTTTGGTAAGTCAATACGCGTACGAGGTATTTTATCATTTCTTTAACTTTTTGTTATTATTGATTAACCAAATTATACGAAGTATTTTATAATATCTTTGACTTAAGTTCCATGTGTTTGTTCATCTTAAAGAAATACTACTATTTCAGCTCTTTGGACTTTGGACTTTCACATTAGGTGGCATACAAGAGGTAGTCTGTGTTGCTTATAGGTGATTTTTGTCAGATTTATTATAAGATTAAGATGTTCTAACAAAATATTATAACAATCTAATGAAAATATTATTTTATTGTAAAACTTTGAATTTTCATTTATAATTAGAGTACTAATAATCAAAGTACCTCATCTTCACACAAATTTGATTGTACATGGCGATGACATCATAAACAAAGTTGTATGTAATGCGACTATAATCTGTGATTTGGAATCTTTTTGATTACACATTTCGGATTTTTCAAAGATTCGCTAATATCTGCAATTTTGCAGTGATTTGCTACAAGAATGGAAGAAGAAGCTCATTTAGTGAATGATCCGAGAAATATTTTAAGCTTCTCGAAGAGAAAGAATCAAGAATCTCGTTTTCAGGATTCAGACAGCAGTAAATCATCTCCGTTTAAAGTACACGGACCAAAACCCTCCGAGGTTTACGGATTTGTAGGATCCATTTCGACTGTTGTTGCCACAGTGATGTTCTTGATTTGGGCGTACGTACCTGATAAGTTCTTGGAGTCTATAGGCATTTCTTACTACCCAAGCAAGTACTGGGCCATGGCTATGCCTACGTATTCGATAGTGACTCTGTTGCTCGCTTTGGCGTTTTACATTGGTCTCAACTTCATGTCTACTTCAAACTCAACCTCTCTCAATACTTTGTTTGGTGAGCCCTACGATTAATTTCGATTTTGTTAATATAGTCACATTGTTTGAGATATGAGAAATGTTTAAATTTGTTATGGAACAGATGATTACAGCAGAGAAGCTGAAGATTCTGTTTCTGAGATGAAGAAAGAGGAAGACAGGCAAATAGAATCAATCTCTGACATTGGTATTACAAGAATAAACGATCTATGTTCAGTTCTGGTTAATGTTTGTGATCTATAGGGTTTTTGGGTTTAATCAAATTCAGTCATTTGTTGTTTATCTTCAGTGGTTATAGAGAGTAGAGACTAAACTTAGAAAAATTGCTAATTTGGTTAAGAAAAGTTCTGTCATTGGCTAATTTTGGGTAATCCCTAAAACAGAAGGAAACAAAACAAATTTTCGAACAAAACCAAAGCAAATCTCCTCCAAAAAAGGGAAAAAAATCTTCTTCCTCGTACACAGGCAGAGGATGATGATGATCTTCATCAAGATCCTCGTCTCTTGAACCCAAAAGAAATTTCCATTTATAACTCGTTTCTGTACATAAACTTTGTGAGATTTTTAAAAGCATATAGAAGAAGAAGAAAAATGAATGATTTATTCTCTAGTTCGTTCAAGAAGTACTCGGACCTGAAGCAACAGGCCCAAGCGGACGATCTTGAGGCAGGTAAAGAGACGATGAACCTCGATAAATTCTTCGAGGATGTCGAAAATGTCAAAGACGACATGAAAGGCGTAGAGACTCTTTACAAGAAGCTTCAGGACTCCAATGAGGAGTGCAAGACGGTCCACAACGCCAAGAAGGTGAAGGAGCTGCGAGCTAAGATGGATGGAGATGTCTCTCAGGTCCTCAAGAGAGTCAAGATGATCAAGCAGAAGCTCGAGGCCCTCGAAAAGGCGAATGCTAATAGCCGCAATGTCCCTGGTTGTGGCCCTGGCTCTTCCACTGATAGAACTAGGACCTCTGTTGTTAGCGGACTCGGGAAGAAACTCAAGGATTTGATGGATAGCTTTCAGGGTTTATGTGCGCGGATGAATGATGAGTATAAAGAGACAGTAGAACGCAGGTGAATAAGAAGATCTTTCTACGTTTTTCTTTGTTAATTGTAGCATACGTTATTGCTTTGTTCATTCCTTGGGATACAAGTTTAACGCTCTGTTTGTATTTCTTAAACCTATTCTTTGTTAATTGTAGCATACGTTATTGCTTTGTTCATTTCCTTGGAATACAAGTTTAACGATCTGTTTTGGATGTGTTCAACCTATACTGTGCAGATACTTCACGAACAGGCGAAAAGGCAGACGAACAGACGATTGAGAACTTGATTTCTAGCGGTGAGAGCGAGAATTTTTTGCAGAAAGCGATACAAGAACAAGGGAGGGGTCAGATATTGGACACGATATCAGAGATTCAAGAGAGACACGATGCTGTAAAAGAGATAGAGAAGAATCTCATAGAGCTTCACCAAGTGTTCTTAGACATGGCGGCTCTGGTGGAAGCACAAGGACAGCAGCTAAATGACATAGAGAGCCACGTGTCAAAGGCGAGTTCGTTCGTGAGAAGAGGAACAGATCAGCTACAAGATGCGAGAGAGTACCAAAAAAGCTCGAGGAAATGGACATTTTACGCTATCATTCTCTTCCTCGTCGTCTTCGCTTTGCTTCTTATACCTGCCTTCCCTCATATCATGCTCATGTTGAAGTAATTTTTGTTTTTGATAGAATCTTGCTTATAACTATTTGTTTCCATCTTAATTTCAATGGTAAGATTAGATTTTTGTAATTTTTTTAATTAAGATAAGAAGTACTATGATTAGCTTTGAAGAGAATCTTTTCATAAGATCCTGGTTTGATTGTTCTTTGTAGCGCATGTTATGTCTGCTCTACAGCGTCAACCCCATCTTTCGACCCGAGCCGAGAAGGATCTGGATCCGAGAAGGGGCTCGGGTTTACACCATGGTTGATGCACGATTTCCTCTAATTACCTTGTGTGCTCTTATTGTTGTGATGAGTTAGGATCTGCTCCGGAGAACTAAAGGCATGAAACTGAATTAGGGCAATCCATTCGAATTTTTGCTGACCTGCTTCGACCGAACCATGTGAATTGTATAATCTTACCTTAATTGTCTTCGTGGTTAGAAAAAATTGCATTAAATCACACTTTGGGTCGATCGGGAGGTTGTATGCAAGTCCACTAGCTAGCATGCATATAGAGAGAGCTCAAGTTTTTATTTAACTTATGAAGTCATTTTAGATTTTTATAAGAGGTTGGTGTCCGGGTTTATATATGCATGTGGATGTGTGGGACGTGTTTGAGTCGTCTATTGTTATATTTTCGTGGAACAAAACTGAGGGATAAACAAAGAAAACAATATTCATTAACATGAAAATATGTTCACTCAAAGATCTCAGTAATCAAAGACTGTTCTAAACCTAAATATATTCTGTGTTTTTTTTTATTTATTAGTAAAAATCTTGTTTTTTTTGTTTAATTACTCAAATGTGTTCAAACTCTTTCTAATCACCTTAAAATTTGTAACCAAAAATTAAAAAAATTTGATCAAATTTCAAATTCCTTTAAAATCTCCTTAAATTTAGATTATATTCAAATTTTCTCATATCTTTATCCAATATATCCCCTAAGAGCACTGGTGAGCTTAAATAAGATTTTATCTTTAATTTAATAATATTTTATATAATAATAATATTTTATTAAATTTTTTTTTTTTAATAGGTAAACTAATGAGATGATATCAAATGGCCAGAGACAGTTTCTAAGGCCATTTCCAACGCAAAGCTTTTAGAAAGTATAAAAAAAAAAAATGTAAAAGAAAAATTTAGATTTTTAAGATATAGCTTCAGAATTTTTAGAGACGGTATCTCACAATATTAATATAATTGTCATCTTATAAATGACTAATTTTTTTATTTTTAAATTAAAGATTAATTATTTATTTATATTATATTTAAATATGATATTTTATTGTTAAAAAATTTTCTCCTTACGTACTAAACGTTGGAGATAGCCTAAAAACTATTAAAACAGTTTTTGATTTTTTGATTTCCCCTTTCTAATTTTTTTGATTTTTTGATTATTTAGAATCTAGGTTTAAATCTTTCATTGAATGTGGTCACGTGTTGCACTACCATGTGTACAACTCGATACGATAAAACATGAAAAACTTTGGTTAACAAACCTGTACACACTAGGTTACATGTGTACAGATAAAAAAAAAGTAAATAGTAAAATAGATTTGGATACAAATCTTAATAATATGTTTAAAAATAAAAATAATCAATCATATATTTTCATCTTATAAAAACAAATACTCTACATAGCAAATTCTATAACTAATCCATAAAATAAGTGAAAGTATTTTTTATTATGCAAATAAACCAGCTTTTGGACAACTTAATATGACTAAAATACACATGAAATTCGAACTTATACATGTATATTACATGTGTACTTCTAAAAACCAAAATTTAACATATATGCGTTTCTACAAAAGGTCAAAAAAAAAAAATTCCAACCAGCCTGTTTTCTCAGAATAATTTTCTTAAAAAAAATTTAACAAATATTTATTTCTTCAATGGGATTATTCGGTGAATAACAAAAAATAAATTATAATTCAGACTCTAACCAATTCCTCTCTCTATCTCCCTCTAAGAGATTGGTTAATTTGTAAATTATATATTTTTTTTGTTATTCACCATATTATCCCTTTCTACAAAACAAATTGACATATATGACTTTCTACAAAAAGTAAAAAAAAGATACCAAACAGCCTGTTTTTTCAAAATAATATTCTTACAAGACATTAACAAATTTGTATTTTTTAAAAGGACAAAAACTAAATTTAATCTGTAAAGCATACCCACAATTCTACCCAAAATCACTAGCTATCCACTGCCTACTTAAATATCTTTGACTCCATTCACTGAAAACAAAAAAACCATAAAAGCATAGCCTAAACCCTGATTTTTCCAATTGCACTCCTACGAAGAGTAAGGCAAAAATGTCAGAATCCTCAACTAAGCTGATAAAATTCACTGAAAATTTACCTGAACATTTGGTAGAGCACATAATATCGGTGTTTCTCCCCATTCAACTTCTTTTACGAAATCGTTCCGTGTCCAAAAAGTTCAAAGCTACAGAGATTCGGTCCCGAGACCTTGATTTCAGCGGAATGTTCTTCATGAGATGCAGCCAACTAGAGGCTGTAAACATCATTGTAAGCGTTTTTAATCAGCACAAAGGGTCAAATATCAACCGATTTGTTTTGGTTCTTAATTATATCGGCGTGAAGAATAAAATACTCTCATGGGTTAATACATGTATTGATAAAGGCATCCAAGAACTTGTGTTAGATTTTTCTAAAGCCAAGAAAGTTGCAGAGATTCCGGTCAATTTCTCAGCTATCAAGACGCTAATAGTCTTGAAGCTACGATGGTGTCAATTCAAAATTCCCAAGAATTCTCCTAAGGGTTTAAAGTTGTTGAGAACACTTGAGTTAATGAAGATCCAAGTGACAGAAATGGTGATAGATGCAATCTTCAGCAACTGTATCCACCTAGAGACACTTGAGCTAATCGAATGCATAATGTATGGGGTATTGAACATCAAGGCGCATAATCATAAGAAGTTCAAGTCGCTGGTCGTGTATTCTATGCCAGATCTCATGGACATCGTTTTGGATGCACCAACTCTCGAGTGCTACAAGTATGATGGATTAGTAAGTGCTGTTGACTTTTCAAGAGTGGATGCACTTAAAGAGGCAAAGCTCCATTATAAGCGGGGTAACCGTTGGGGTTATTGCGATTTATTTGAAATGGTGCATGGTAACATGGGAGCCTGTATTAAAGAAGTTCAGGTTTTCGCAACAACAAACATCTTTCTAGAGGTAATTTTCTTTTATGTTTTTTTAACTTTGTTTGCTTTAATTCACAAATTAGTTTTTTTTTGCGTGTTTATTATAACTGAGTAGAGTTTATCGTATTATTTTTAGATCAAATGTACGAGTTGATATCATAAATTTTTTTTTATATATAATCTTAGAGCGTGCATCAATTACCTCACTTTGGTCTCCGTTGTTAGAAAAGTTCATCTCGAATTGTGTATTTTGGGTTGATTTCATTCAAATTTTCAACTGATTTTCATTTAAAGTTTTCATTTTAGTATTATCCTTCGAATTTATAGATTAAAACAGTAAAATATAATTGATAATTGTTTTTAAGATAGATAGAACATATATAGTAGGAGTGTATTACGAACCTAAATTTAGTCAGCAACTAATGATAAATATTTTTTGTGTAACAGTTAGTTTTGAAAATATATATAATTCTATAAAATTTACTGAAACTGATAATTTTTATTTATTTGAAAAATTAGATTTATTTTTCGTGCATTTTCTTTGTTAAAGTTTACAAATTTTAAAATTAGATTTATATTTCATTAAAAGATTATATAACCTATTTTCTTTGTTAAAGTTTATGAATTTTAATTTCTCGCGCAAACGGTATTATTTATCTTCATTTTAAATCAATATATACTAGAAATCTTACATTGAAATATTATGGAGCCTAAAAGATGTTGTAACAACAATTAGTTTTGGAAAAATCCAATAGAATTTACAAAATGGTTGTTTTTCTTCATTAAGCAGTTTTCTTTTATAAAGCCTACAAATTTTATTTTTGCGCCCTAATTATATTAGTTGTGTTAATTTTTTGTTTCTGAGCTTGAAATATTTCCATCCAACACTTTAATAGATAGCCCGCGAGAAATAAGTGGTACATAGAATTTAGGATTTAGGGTATCTTCATAAGGTCTACCCAAGACGTTTTGATTACTTTATGTCTTTGCATTGATCGACAGTTGATTTTGAGTTTCATGAAAAATGTAGTAGTGGAATCCATAAAAAGTTATAAAGTACTTGAATATTTGATCTATACATCAATATGATATTAAGGTAAAGATAGGTTAGGTCCAATAACAGTCATAGTTTTATTCCGATACAACAGAGATTTCACACTGAAGAATGAAGATACATACCTAGCAAAAATCTATTATTATAGGTTATATGTTATTTTTTGGTCAATACAATATATATAACCTAGCTGCCAATTGACTTTAAAAAATAATACTATGAATTTTCACAATAACATGTTTTCTTATTCTTTAAAAGTTTAGTCATTTGTCTTTTTTTGTTTACATGTTCAGTACAAAAGTAGTTGTATTTTAGAGTCATTTGCACAAACTTTTAGTATAGATGATCATGACAAAGAATGCTTCATCAGTATATAGAGATTATGCAATTTTCACATGTTAGTATCCGTTTTATTTTGTTCATTTTTTTCCACTCTTGGTTTTGAGTGAGTTTTGATCTTTCCTCTCACATGTATATATAGGCGATCCCCTTTAGAAGCGTAATGGGACAAATGAGACAACGTCCTCTCTGCTTTCCGAACTTAAAAGAATTCCAAGTTGTTATTAGAGGTCGAGCATTTTGCGGTCTTTATAACATTGCTGAATTCCTTGATCAGTGCCCAAACCTCGAACGAGTTCTCATCGATGTACGTCTCTCTCTCTCTCTCTCTCTCTCTCTCTCTCTCTCTCTCTCTCTCTCTCTCTCTCTCTCTCTCTAAACATTACTTCTCATCTACCAAGTGGATTAGAACTTTGGTTTGTTATATGCAGATAGATGATTTTACATTTGAACCTAAATTAAATGGCGAGCTTCCCATCTACCAGTTGGACACTATTAAGGAAGTCGAGATCAATGGCTACAAAGGCCACTGGCATGAGGTTGACATAGTACGTTTCTTTGTCTCGAACGCTCAATTTCTAGAGAAGTTGATTTTGAAGATTTCTAGAAACAGGAAGATCAAATTTAGCGAACATGATCATGCAAGGATCAAGTACATAGAAACTATATCTATGAAGAAAGGTCTCATTAAAGTAGTCGAAGTTTAAGCTCAGGTATGCCGAACTCTAATAGCTCTTTAATTTTGATGTGTTTGAAACATCATAAAGAGTAAAATATTACTAGTTCTTGTTGTTTGTTTTCTTGATATTTTCCCAGCTTTGAACTCTCTTGTTATTGTTTTTTTTTTGTTTTAATTATCCCGGTTTCAAACTCTTTTTTTTTTATATCTCAGATATGAACTTTTCTTAGATCAAAATGCTTCTAGATTATTATGTCAGCATTGTCTCATGCATGTAGTGTTATTGTTTATAGTGTGTCACCCGTCTCCTTACTCCACGAACCGAGACAATAATATCAAAACGCCCAAACAACGTGTTTTCTCCCTTAGTGATCTGATCCACCAATATGTTATGAACCGGTATATCTAGTTTTACTAACTTGAAAAAAAGAAGGGAAGAAAGAAAGATGAGTAATTTATATAACCCCGTAAAGATGAGTCCTATGGACCCATAAATTCACCACAATCGATTTGTTATCACAACATTCGCAAAGCTAGACCTAAAACAAGTCACAAACATAGTACCTACTACCTAGTGCACTTACACAGCACACATGAGTCCTACACCTATGGTCCTTAGGCTTCTTGCGCATCACCAATGGTTATATCTTCAACCATCATGGGAATCATCAACACCCTATGAGAAGCTTCAGCCAACCCTAGAACACAAGTTGTTTCATTGAATTTGTCTCATTAATAAGCTCCCGCTTTGCCGCTTTGGCTTTCAATGAAATTGTGTTCTATATAAAACAACTTTTTAAAAAATTCTAACATCAACTAAGCCATTTTTGAATAAATATAAGTTTGTTTTCATAAATATATACAAAACAATAAAGATGATAGGAAAAAGAATATATTCTATCTTCTATCTCCTATATATATTAATTAAGAATCATCTATAAAGACTGACTTCATTTTTGTAAATATTTAAAATAGTGTTATTTTGTTTATGTGTCATTACCACCTTCATTTTCACTAAACTTTTTAAAAAGGTTTATGTTACTAAACAAAGGCAAATTACACAATATGCCACTCATACTAATTTAGTTAGACAACAGTTTATAACAGTTATTTATACATAATTCAACATTTAATTATAAAGATATTTTTTTCATTCTATTTTTTACTAAATATATATCATATAAATTAGTAATATAAATAATGTATTTTTGTTCTTACTTTTATTTAAATTTATTTTCATAAAAAATAATAATTCATCACATCATCTTATATAGTAAATTTTGTTTGGAAAAAATATAAATGACTCAAAATAATAAATAAACATGAGTATGTTAATAAAGTATAACATTGAAAATATTTTTTTTCTCTAATTTTTATTTAAATTTATTTTTTTTAAAACATAATTTATCACAAAATCTATATAATATTTGTTTATTTAAATAAATATAAATTACTTAATACTAAATAAATATGATTTTGTTTTTAAAATTTAACATTGGAAATGAGGAAGGGTGAATGGCTTAAAGATTATTATAAAAGGAATATAAATAATAAAAATAATTTGGTAAAATCAGTAAGTTTGATTTAATACACATATAATTTGGGAGCAAATTACAGAATGGTTACATAGGATATATGATTGTTTTGGTAGTAGAATTAGGTTTCTGAGTTTTGTCTTTTGGAGGATGAGCGGTATGTGGTCTCAGGGCAAAAGTCTGTTTGGTCCTGCGAACACTAGAAACAAATAAGCCGGGCTTCTGGAAAAACCGGAAGGGGTTCTCCCCCCAAAGATTCTCCGACGCTCAAGTTAAATTACGCTATACTGAAAACAAGTACTCGAGAGGGTGGATATGTGGTGGTGGTATGGTTTGGGTATCACATCCAATGATCGTGATACCAGCCTGACATTTGGTGAGGATGGACATACTATATATGGACCATAGTGAAAGCAGGGTTAGAACTCTCTCTTCATGGGTGTTAAAACAGATGATAAAGGGGTGGGGGAGAAGATAAAGCTTATCCCGATTGGCATTCCCTGGGGGACGACATGCGTTCTCCCACTTCAGTCTTGTTGTATGACATGGGTTTTTGAGATCCCCAGGAGGATGTGTGAGCCATGTTCTTTCCTATTTTCTCTCGGTCCATCTCTTTAATTTAGACATCCCTCTCTAGGATGGATTCTGGATCTCCTCTCCTCCCATCTGTGGCCTCATCCCCTTCTCCTTTGACCCTTGCCTTGCTTTTATACTCCCTCTCTCATTTTCCATCCCATCAGTACAGCGCATGGTTGGATTAGGTGGGCTAGCGCAACATGCCTTTGACTTGGGAAGCTTGCCAACTGTCCGAGAACAGTCTGCTAGGGAGCCGTTGGTGCAGGCATAGGGGAGGAAGTCAACTCTTTGACAAGGCCCATTGCCAATGTGTCATCTCGTGGTTGGTCACGGTAAAAGTGGGCCCAACAATTTCTGTCAACTTCTCGACTGATTAGAAATGAGTCGGAGAGTCGATCTTTTGGTGTTCCTGCAAGAGATTCAAAGTTCATTCAATACCCAAAGGTTTTGGCCAGTTTGGTACCATGTTAGAACAGTTCACTCTTGACTCTGCCACGCATCCCGAAAGAATACGGGGTCAAGTCAAGGTGAAAGGAGTTTTAGGAGAAATAGTTGGGCTGGTCCACCCCCAACCTTGCCACGCATCCCATAAGAGTACGGATCTGGCTGGAGCAGAACAGGGTTTCCTGAGAAACAAATAAAATGACTCACTCCAACCTTGTCATGCATCTTAGAAGAGTACAGATCTAGCCGGAGTGAAACACAATTTCCAGAGAAACAAATGGATTTCTGAAGAAATAGTTAGGTTCCGGAAAGAACAGTTAGATTGGATCCTACCCTGGCTTGGGCGCGTATCCCAGAAAATTACATGCTTGCCCATAATAGGAGGATGTTAGGTTCCCCAAAGAACTGTTGGTTATCCACAGATGAGCATCTCCCCGGAGGAAGTTTACTCTTTGCTTTGTGAGGCACTAAACAAGGAGCTGTCTTCCTTCCCCATTGGAATTATGGAGAAGTTATAGCTTTATATGACCACGGGGATCAATATAAGATGACGACACGGCTTCAGGCACCTACTCAAGAACCACATATGTCGTCTTGAGGGGGTGAAATATGGTCCTTGTGTGCAGATTGCTAACACGAGGGGGGGGGATGGTTGGTTTTTTTACAGCTTGTGCCAGCCAGCTAGTGGCAAAATAGAGCGTTTCCCAGAGGTGTTATCCTGACTCCCTTACTATCGGAACAGTCTTAGCGCTGTGCTTATGCGGAAAGTTTTAGAATCGTGCTTGGACATACCCCGGAGGGAGAGGGCGGGAAGGTTTTTAGAATAGGATGTCCCCCAGAAGGAGGGACCTCAATTCTCAGTGTGGCCCGAAAGGCAAGTGTGTCATTGGAGGGAGCACACTGGTGGTTTACACAGTTCCTGGAGGGAGCTGGTGAGGAAGACTCAGAGGTCTGTGAGATCAGAGTTCTAATTCCCAGAGGAAGATGCCTCAGAAGGAAAGAGCATCTGGTAGGGAGCACACCAAAGTGTTACGCAGTCTCCAGAGGGAGTTGGCAAAAAAGACTCGGAAGTCTGCGGAACCGGAGTCCTGAATTTTTGGAGGAATGATGTCTTGTAAGGCGAACAAGTCCACATGGGAGCATTCTATCTAAAATTTAGAATAAGGGTTTGATGAAAATTTGGACCATAAGCATGATATTCCCAGAGGATAAAATAATGCAATCAAGGATAGAGAGATGGGAACGAAGGAGGGATAAGCAAACATGGAGGGTAAAGCGGGTAAAGCAAAGAGCCGTAGGGACTCGAATAATCAAGCAATCAAACAAGCAAGTAGAGAATCGAGCAAGCAAAAAATACATAATCGGTAAAACAACCAAACAGGAAGTCACACAAACAAAGAATCAAGCAATTACGCAAGAAAGAAATAATTTAAACAAGAGGTCACACAAGCAGAGAGTCATGCAATAATGCAAGCATTTATATAAGCAGGAAAACATATGGATATACGAGCCTCATGGACATTGTTAAGAACCCCGTGCGCACAAGCAAATCGTAATCGGCGGGCACAGACAATTTGCTCCGATAAGTAGGGGCCCCCTTGGAGGAGTACGTATTTCCTGTAAGGTTTCTGAACTTATACCATTGCGTTATGACTTGCCGCGGCTGAGGATTGTTGCTTTTTGTTAGTCGATGCAGGCCACGTGGTGGATTTTTTTTCGCTCTCCGCATGGAAAGTTGTGCTGCACAATTTTTTTTGCTTCTCATGAACTGGCGCTTCTTCGTTTCCCTAGGTTAGGATACGCCGCGTCGTCCATTTCATTAAAATGGGTGTCGTTCGGTTCACGACTCGAGATGAAATTAATTACAAGTTTGACCCTTGATTTTTGCCATCTTTCGTCGTTGACCCTATATTTGCAATTGCCTCCTCGTCTCCCAGCACTCCTATAGATAGGTGGAGCGAGGGGGTTCCTCTTTCACTTCTTCTCCAACGCAGATTCTAACCTTATTTTTTTCTTCTTTCCCTTCTGGTTGGTATTGCAGTCTTTCTTCGAGTTTTGTCGAGATGGTCAATTTGCTTCCTCCAATGCTGAAGTTTGACTTGTTAGACGTCGGTTACTTTCTGCCCGTCTCCAATTTCCCGAGGATGCTCCCAGGCTCAAGGGAGTTTCTCCTAGCTCTTGAGAAGGTATAATTTGCTAACGTTTCTGGCGGTCAAAGCGCGAGCCTCTTCTTGGGATGGATCGTTCCTCACAGCCCTCTTCTCGTCAGGCCCTGCGACCCCATCTTCCAAAAGGGTTTGTGGCCTTTTCAGTTAGACTTGGAATTTGGCACTCCAGCTGATGGAGCGGCTATATCTCACTGTGATGTTGTACTCGCTCTGCTGACCTAACCATCGTTTGTTTGGTGAATTCAATCAGGTCAGTGGCGTACCTTAAAGACTCTCTCATGTGGACACATATCCATGAGGAGAGA